ACTACAGCCTCACAGGGCTCAAGGAATCCTCACAAGTGTGCGCCACCACGCCTGGCTAATTTTTGTATTTTTTGTAAAAAAAAAAAAAATGGGGTATCACCATGTTGCCCAGGCTGGTCTCAAACTCTGGAGCTTCAGTGATCCTCCCAGTTAAGCCTCCCAAAGTGTTGGGAGTTCAGGCATGCCTGGCCAGCTTTGACCTGTGTTTAACTGCAAGTATCCTTTTTTACCCAAGTGATTTAATTGTGAAAATTCAGTCAAAGTATTCTAGCAACATAGTAGTAAAAGCACTAGCTATATGTCAAGGTTTGTCTTTATTTGCCCCCAATTATTATACGCATGGAAGGTTTTTAGCATGTGTGTGTGAGCAGCATGCAGAATCCCAGGCTTCTGCCCAGCTGTGCATTCTGCCATTTGTGGTGATTCACTTCTGTCGAATTATGAATGATGATTGTTGCGGTAGCAAATTACTCTTTTCTTTTAAATAGTCTCTCAACTGGGAAACGACCTGCTCCCTGTTCCTGACAATAGTATTCATACAGAGAATAGTGATTTTACTATAATGCTACTTTGAAGAGGCTTCCGTTAACATTGAACGGAAAAGGAATGTTGCCATTTGAATGTTTATCCTGTACTTTGGCACTTTGGAAATCAAGTATGTCACACAGGAGAGTATTCCCTGGCTCTTAGCAAACATTTGCCACAGTTGGTTATTTACGGTAAACACCCTCTCATCATCCTGGCTGCTGTGCAGCTGTTGCCCTGATGTAGCTCAGGCATAAGGCCAAAAATAGTGCTTTGGGATCATTTTTGTTTGTTTGTTTTTATGAATGGAAAAGCAAAGACAGTGCTATTGAGTCTGTTTCCTGTGATCTCATCAGTTTTGAGAGTTCTGGGTAGAAATCAGATATGTAAGTCAAGGCTTAGGATTAAGAAATAAGGCAGTAGAGGAAACAGATACCTGGTCATGTGGAGCTTTCCTGGTCTGCAGGTAGAGACACATCGTTTATCGGCAAGCCAATGACTGAGCAAAGTCCATCCCTGTGGTGGATTCAGAGTGGGGGAACATTGAGCCTCTGTGAGTGATTGTTGACACCACGCAACTGGGGGGGTGCATGCAGAGCATGGGAAGGTCACTGTAGGAACCTGGCTCACTTCTCAGGGGAGTACTGGGATGGGCACACCCTCTTACCTGGGGAGCACTGGGATGGGTGCAGCCCCTTTCCTGGGGTGCAGCATGTTTCCTGGGGAGCACTGAGATGGGTGCAGCCTCTTTCCTGGGGAGCATTGGGATGGGTGCACCGTCTTTCCTGGGGAGCACTGAGATGGGTGCAGCCTTTTTCCTGAGGAGCACTGAGATGGGTACACACTCTTTCCTGGGGAGCACTGTGATGGGTATAGCCTCTTTCCTGGGGAGGAGTGGGATGGGTGCAGTGTCTTTCCTGGGGAGCACAGAGATGGGTGCAGCCTTTTTCCTGGGGAGCACTGAGATGGGTGCAGCCTCTTTCCTGGGGAGCACTAAGATGGATGCATCCTCTTTCCTGGGGAGCACTAAGATGGGTGCAGCCTCTTTCCTGGGGAGCACTGGGATGGGTGCAGCGTCTTTCCTCGGGAGCACTGGGATGGGTGCAGCGTCTTTCCTGGGGAGCACTGGGATGGGTGCAGCCTCTTTCCTGGGGAGCACTGGGATGGGTACAGCCTCTTTCCTGGGGAGCACTGGGATGGGTGCAGCCTCTTTCCTGGGGAGCACTGGGATGGGTGCAGCCTCTTTCCTGGGGAGCACCGGGATGGGTGCAGCCTCTTTTCTGGGGAGCACCGGGATAGATGCACCCTCTTTCCTGGGGAGCACCGGGATGGGTGCACCCTCTTTCCTGAGGAGCACTGGGATGGGTGCAGCCTCTTTCCTGGGGAGCACTGGGATGGGTGCAGCCTCTTTCCTGGGGAGCACCGGGATGGGTGCAGCCTCTTTCCTGGGGAGCACCGGGATGGGTGCAGCCTCTTTCCTGGGGAGCACCGGGATGGGTGCACCCTCTTTCCTGGGGAGCACCGGGATGGGTGCAGCCTCTTTCCTGGGGAGCACCGGGATGGGTGCAGCCTCTTTCCTGGGGAGCACTGGGATGGGTGCAGCCTCTTTCCTGGGGAGCACCGGGATGGGTGCAGCCTCTTTCCTGGGGAGCACTGGGATAGATGCACCCTCTTTCCTGAGGAGCACCGGGATGGGTGCAGCCTCTTTCCTGGGGAGCACTGGGATGGGTGCAGCCTCTTTCCTGGGGAGCACTGGGATGGGTGCAGCCTCTTTCCTGGGGAGCACCGGGATGGGTGCAGCCTCTTTCCTGGGGAGCACCGGGATAGATGCACCCTCTTTCCTGGGGAGCACCGGGATGGGTGCACCCTCTTTCCTGAGGAGCACTGGGATGGATGCAGCCTCTTTCCTGGGGAGCATTCAATGGGTGCAGCCTTTTTCCTGGAGCCGCAGGTGTAGTCCCCACAGTAGCATCTGCCCCACGGGATTTGCCTCTAGCTGGCCTGTGGCATTGAGGTGGGAAGTCGTGGGTGTCCACCAGAAACAAGACAGGCTGTGGCTGGGCCATTGTTGAGCCTGTTTGACGGCAGCAGGGGGCTCACCACAGCATTTCCTCTACTTTTGTGTATGTTTATGGTTTTCCAAACAAACACAAATGAGGCAGCTTTGAACCTAGAACCCAGAGTTACTGGCAGAGCAGGGAGGTGTGAGCTGCCCTGAGAGCCCTGTGCTCCTCCCGTGGGGGTGAAGCACTTCCATCAGCCCTGGCTCAGGGCTTAGGGCCACAGGCAGTCTCGAGCCCAGTCTCAGCCCAGCCTCCCCCCACCCCCGTGTGTATTTGGGTGAATGCACAGTCAGTCAGTGACTTAATGCCAAGATGCTTCACTCCATCCTTCCTGGCTCTGTGCCTCTGAGACCCCACAGCTGAGAAGACAAGGTAGATGGCCACATCGAAGCAGTGAGACTCCGTGTCCAGCTAGTGGGATTAAGTGAGCACTTGGAGACGGGGAGGCAGCAGGCAGTGGGCCCGAGAGGCGGCTGGGCATGCGCATGGGAGTAGAGCCTCTTTGTAAGAGAGTGGGTGCCGGAAAGGGGGATCTGCAGGCCTGGCCTGCATTGCTGGTGGGTCTCGGCAGCACAGCTCCTCCCCCATCCATCTTGTCCCAGGGTAGAGTGTGCTTGTTAGAGCTCGGAGTGTGGAGTGGAGTCATGGCCACAGACTGCTCCTGCTCTGCAGTCCGCTGCCGAGTGATCCCTGTATGTGGTTCAGCCTCCTCACTGGCAACACGGGGACCATCAGATTAATGAGAACACAAGTGTATTTCAAATTGCCTCCCACTCGTGAACTAGAGGTAAAGAACTGCTCTTACTATCTTTAACAGGGTCAACACACTACAGTTGTTAAGACAGGGAGTTTTGTAAAGTCAGACAGACCTGGCTTTAGCTACTGGTTTGGCACCTCTCAGCTCTGAGACCATAACCCCTGAACATGTGTCTTCTCTCTGAAATAGAGATGCCCATACCTGCCTCATGGTGGGATGAGGGGGGTGGGACCAGGAGGATTGACAGATAAGGCACCTGGCTTGCCTTCTGTCATCCCCAGGCACTGGCACTCAGTGACCTGTAGCCTTCTCTTTTGTTTTTAGGGTGGTGTGAAATCGTGGAGAAGAGTGTTGAACTATGTGGGTCTGTCTCATGTTAGTTTCTGCTGTTTCTCAGTCGATTGCCATTTTGTCTTTGCTGCTTTGCTTAGAATTAAGAGTGACAGGCTGTGTGAGGTGGCTCATGCCTGTAATCCCAGCAATTTGGGAGGCTCAGGCAGGCAGATTGCCTGAGCTCAGGAGTTCAAAACCAGCCTGGGCAACATAGTGAAACCCCGTCCCTACTAAAAATACGAACAATTAGCTGGGTGTGGTGGCAGGTGCCTGTAATCCTAGCTATTCAGAAGGCTTTGGCATGAGAATTACTTGAACTCGGGAGGCGGAGGTTTCAGTGAGCGGAGATCCTGCCACTGCACACTCCACACTCCAACCTGGGTGACAGAGCGAGACTTCCTCACCCCCCAAAAAAGAGTATGGACTAGAAATAATTTTATTAATAAAAGCCTTTGTTGATTTATGTCTGAATGTTCCCCATGAAAGTAGTGTCTCCTTAGAGAACACTGCTAAATATCTCACCCTTAGGGTCTTCTGATGGAGATGGGACAATCCTATCTCCATGTAATGGACAGGAAGGAGGCAGAGACTGAGACAGGCTAATGGGCTGCTGGGGAGGAGGCAGGAGCCCAGCTCTTCAGCTTCTGATCAGCGGTTTGGCTTCTGAATGATGCTGGGGCTTATTCTTTTGTTTTTGGTTTTGTCTGTTTGTTTGTTTTTGTTTTTAGAGACAGGGTCACTGCAGCCTCAACCTCCCAGGCTCAGGCAGTCCTCTCACCTCAGCCTCCCAAGTAGCTGGGACCACAGGCATGTGCCACCATGCCTGGTTAATTTTTTGTAGAGACGGGCTTTCACCATGTTGCCCAGGGTGGTCTTGAACTTCTGGACTTAAGCAATCTGCCTGCCTCAGCCCCCTAACGTGCTGGGATTACAGGTGTGAACCACAGTGCCCGGCCAGGGTTTTGACTGTTTATGGAAAATATGCAACACAAGCAGTTTCACTTCTTGAGGGTCAAACTAGCTTGTGTTATATTGACTTACATAGTGAAATGAAATGATTCTACAGTAGCTTAGTTCTGAGAATCCAACTCTTGCTTCTCCCCAGGTCTTCCACCCTTCCTGGCTGCCTTAGGCAGCACCTGTTGTGTTGAAAATGTTGCGGGACTTCATTTGGGGTAGAGAGTGGGAGCTGCTGGTTTGTTATAATTTGGTGCTCTAGTGAGTTGAGATCTTGTGGGTATTGGACTGTTTTTGTTTTTTAGTTCGCTCTTTGTGCCCACATACAAATTTTAAAAATCGGAATTTTCCATTTTTCATTGTAGTGTAGTAAGAACGATGATGGAGACACAGTTGTTGTGGTTGAAAAGGACCATTTCATGGAGGATTTCTTCCGTCAGGTAAGAATGTTTAATGGAACCCAGTCATTGCCTCCCTCCCTCCCTTTCTTTTTCCTTTCTTCTTTTTCTTGTTTGTGGAGACAGAGGCTCGCTCTGTTGCCCAGGCTGGAGTGCAGCGGCACAGTCTTGGCTCACTGCAACCTCTGCCTCCCAGCTTCAAGTGATTCTCTTGCCTCAGCCTCCCAGGTAGCTGGAACCACAGGCTTGCGCCACCACGCCCGGCTAATTCTTTCCTCGTGTTTTAAGTGGAGACGGGGTTTCACTATGTTGCCTAGGCTGGTTTCAAACTCCTGAGCTTGGGCAATCCACCTGCCTCAGTCTCCCAAAGTGGTGGGATCACAGGCATGAGTCCCTGCCCCTGCGACTTCCTTCTTTAAACGTTTATATCAATGTGATTGTGCATTTGTCATATTTCAAATAATACTTCAGCTAATATTTTTTAAAGTTATTGTTTGAGTTACGTAAGTTCTCTGGAGTTTTTACTATGATCACAATGTTAGTTAATAACGAGAAAACTGCAAATCATCGTTCCTGATGCAGCCTGGGAGGGAGCTGGGTGCAGATGGTAGAACCGTGCACGTGGCCTCGGTGTGGGCCGTGGTGGCGCCTGCAGGGCCCTCTGGGGGTGGCGCCCACTTCTGCCCCCTGTTGGTGGCTGCTGCAGGAGTGTCTCGTCCTTGCAGGCTGCCTTTGGGAGGTCCTACCGCGCCCCTTAAGAGAGTTTTACAGAGGCCTCCCTGCAAGACCAGCCGTCTCTCAGAACAAGGCCTCCTTGGTTCTTCAGGAAGTGGTGGTTCTGGCAGTAGAAGTGGCGCCTGGCTGTGGACGCAGGGGTCAGGTGTGCGTGGCTCCCACCAGCACTGCCACCCTCCACCAGTGAGAGTGAGGCCTGAGGGTGCGCATAGAGCAGAGGGCTCGGGGTCTGAAGCCGGTGACTGATGAACTGTACATGAGCTCAGGCAGAAGACTCAGAAGGGAAGTTGCAGGTGACCCAGTGGCTGATATTTTAAGACATGGGAGCCTTCCAGCATGGGTCGCGGCGGTCTGCCAGTGCCGGGCTCCTGTCTGAGGTGTGAGCCTCCCCTCCTGCTCATCTCCCAGTGCAGCCCTTGTGCTTAGGCCCTGCTGAAATTCTCAGACCTAAGGACTATTCGATCTCATGTGGCAGCACTGACTCACAGAACAAATGCACTGACTTTGTTAAACATGAAGAAACAAAAGCACATCTGTTGGATTTTTTAATGATGAAACCTTCATGGCAGGACGCGCTTTGATTATGCTGAATCTCATGGGATAGTTTTACTTGACAGTCTCAACTGGTCTGTCAATTCCTGGGTTTGAAAATTTTTAATAGGTTTATAAAAATATATGAAAAGTTATTAGGTTTTCACATTCAGCCAGAATTTCTTGAATAGCTCATGTGAGTCTAGTCACAGGTTTTCAGGTATTTGTTAGTTGCTGCTGTTACCAAATGGAAAAAGCCATGAGATTAAATCGTTAGCTACAGAGAAGCTCCTTTAAGCATAAAGGAGTTAAGATACTGGGATTTCCTGGTTTCATTTCTTTTTAAATTGTCTTTAGCCTTCCTGCCCCTTTTGTCAAATTATTTTTCTGATTTTATTTCTTTTAGCAACTTGGTTGCTTAACTCTTCCATGAAAGTTCTCTGTGAAAATGTATTTAATTAATTAATTAATTTATTTATTTTTGAGACAGAGTCTCACTCTTTTGCCAGGCTGGAGTGCAGTAGCAGGATCTGGTCTCACTGCAACCTCCACCTCCCAGGTTCAAGTGATTCTCCTGCCTCAGCCTCCCGAGTAGCTGGGACTACAGGTCCCACCACCACATGTAGCTAATTTTCGTACTTTTAATAGAGACGTACTTTTAACTTTTTCACCATGTTGGCCAGGATGGTCTCCATCTCTTGACCTGGTGATCTGCTCGCCTTGGCCTCCCAAAGTGCTGGGATTACAGGCGTGAGCCACCGCACCCAGCCAAAAAATGTGTTTATTTTAAAGAATCTCCTGCCATTAAGTATTGCGTTCAATAGAAAAGTTACATAGTTCAGCGTGGGTGTGGTGGCTCATACCTGTAATCTCAGCACTTTGGGAGGCCAAGGCAGGTGGATCAACTGAGGTGAGGAGTTCCAGACCAGCCTGGCCAACATGGCGAAACCCTGTCTCTACTAAAAATACAAAAACTAGCCAGGGATGATGGCGGGTCCCTGTAATCCCAGTTGCTTTGGAGGCTGTGCCGGGAGACTTCCAGAACCCTGGAGGCAGAGGTTTTCGTGAGCTGACATCATGCCATTGCACTCCAGCCTGGGCGACATCGAGAGACTCCATCTCAGAAAAAAAAAAAAGAAAAAGAAAAGTGACATTGTGCAATTCACTGACTGTCATTAAGCTGTGGTCTTTCTGTGCCAGTCGTCTTTGCTGCTGGCATCCCAGGGCATGTGGGAAACAGGTTAGCCATGCTGTAGGGAGGCTTGCCCAGTGCTTGTCCTCACTGGGTTCTAACTTAAGCTGAAGCTTTCATTTGTTAAATAGTCCATTTATTTTGCACTTAATTTCTGTGATGACTTCTGACTAATGCAGAAGCAAATAATGCTTGTTAATGTAAACTCAGCTTTAGAAAATGACCTTCTGATCTTGAGAAATGGATGTCGTACATGACAAGTGTTGTTAGTCACTAAAATTGTGCATTGAAGGGTGGCCAGGGAGGCTCCTCTCTGTGAAGATGATTTATAACAGAGCAAAAATTTATAACGGAGCAAAAGAGACCCCCGGCTATTGTAGTCCCGGACTTAAAATGGTAGCTGGCCGGGTTCTCTCTCTGCCTCTCTGGGTGCTGAGCGTGTAGCCCTGCAGCTTCCTGCTCCTCTGGAGCCACACGGGGCTTGGAGTTAGCAGTGGTATAGATTGCAGAACTTTCCAAGAGTTATAATTTTTTTAAAAAGCTTTCTGACATACGTGTATTATTTTAGAAATAGTACTTTTTCTTTCTTCTTTTTTTTTTTTTTTGAGACGGAGTCTTGCTTTGTTGCCCAGGTTGGAGTGCGGTGGCGCGATCTCGACTCACTGCAGCCTCGTCCTCCCAGGTTCAAGCAGTTCTCCTGCCTCAGCCCCCTGAGTAGCTGGCACTACCTGGCTAACTTCTGTATTTTCAGTAGAGATGGCATTTTCCCATGTTGCCCGGGCTGGTCTTGAACTTCTGACCTCAAGTGATCTTCCCATCTCAGCCTCCCAAAGTGCTGGGATTACAGGCGTGAGCCACTGCTCCCAGCCTTTATGATTCTTTAATGCTTAGACTTTTCAAATCTGGTCTGGGGCTTGGCTTAGGGTCCCTGGTGTCCCTAAGACCCTTTCAAGAGGTTTCTGTGGTCAAAGCTCTTTTCAAAGTAATACTGAGATGATGATTGGCATTTTCATTCTCTCGTGACTGCATGACGATGGAGTTTCTCAGAGCCAGCACACCAGACCTCAAAGTATGAGGATCAGGCTGCCTTCTATTAGGCCAGACATTAGATTTACAAAAAATGCAGGTCACTGCCCCTGTTTCCACTGAGTGTTTGGAGAGTGATTTTTCACAGAAATGTGTCATTTATGTTGGCATGTGTGTCAGTTTCCTGCCGCTGTAACACATCACCACAGTCATCGTGCTTCAACAACACATTGATCGCTGCCTCCTAGTTCAAGGGGCCAGAGAGGCCTGGGTGCGGGCAGGGAGGAGCTGCGAGCCTCCTGGAGCTGCTGCCTTCTTCTCGGGCTTCCGCAGGTGGCCCATGTTCTTGGCCCACGGTGCTTTCCTTCATCTTCAAAGCCATCCCTCCAGCTGCGGTTTTAAGGATCAAGTCTCCTTTTTCCGACATTGGTCCTCTTGCCTCATCTTGCAAGGACTCCCATGGCTCCATTGGGCCTGCCCAGATAATCCAGGGCAGTCTCCCATCTCAAGACTCTACTTGGTCACATCTGCAAGGTTCCCTTTGCCATGCAAGGTGACATATTCACAGGCTCCAGGATTAGGTTGTGGATTGTGTCACAACGTGTCATGGTTAATAATTGCTGCTTGTTTTTAAGAGCAGGGTCTTGCTCTGTTGCCCGGGCTGGAATGTAGCGGTGCGATCACAGTTCCTTCCAGTCTCAACTATGTGGGCCGGGCAGATCTTCCTGCCTCAGCCTCCTGAGTGTCTGGGACTGCAACTGCAGCCATGCACCATCATGCCCAGTTAGTTTTTTTTTTTAGTTTTTGTAGAGATGGGGTCTCTCTATTTTGCCCAGGCTGGTCTTGAAATCTTGTGATTTCAAGTGATCCTTCTGCCTTGGGTCCCAGAGTGCTGGGATTACAGGCATGAGCCCTGTACCTGGCCTGTAATTACTATTTTAAAACGAGGAAGGAGGGAGGCACTTGGGACTTCAGCCCATTTACACCTGGTGCCCCATTACTGGGATGCTAAGCTTGTGTGACCGCATCACATCCTGCTGCTCACGGCCATGTCCGACGTCTGATTTTTCAGACAAAAAAATTGCAGCCTCTGGCATGAGTGGGCTAATGAGGACCTGCCTGGAGGACCCAGGATAATTTCCCATCTCAAGACCTTAGTTTAGTCACATCTGCGAAGTGTCTTCTGCCACAGAAGGTGATGCACAGATCCCAGAGAGTAGGACCTGAACATCTTTGGGGTCGTTACTCAGCCGGCCACAGAGGTTTTTGAAGATAATGTGATAACTCCCTCCAAATACATCTTGCTAATGAGTACATTACATTTTGAAACAAATATTAAGTAGTTTAAGCATTTAGAGGTGAAAGATGACAAATATGAATGCTTGGCTGTCTGAGCTGTAGATGCCTCCTCCCATAAGAATATTATGGTTATTTTCTTTATTTTTGAGACAGAGTTTTGCTCTGTTGCCCAGGCTGGAGTACAGTGGTGTGATCTCAGTTCACTGCAACCTCCATCTCCTGAGTTCCAACGATTCTTGAGCCTCTCAGCCTCCTGAATAGCTGGGATCACAGGTGTGAGCCACCTCACTCAGCTACTTTTTGTATTTTTAGTAGAAAAGAGGGTTCTCTATGTTGGCCAGGCTGGTCCTGAACTCCTGGTCTCAAGTGATCCGCCTGCCTTGGCCTCCCACAGTGCTGGGGTTATAGGCTGAGCCACTGCCCACATGTTTGATGGGCTCACTTCCTGGGTATACTGAGAATGGTATTAGTACTGGTGTGCTTCTGATTGGTCCCATCTGTGTCATGCTTGGGACTTGACTAGAAATTTTTACAACCTGGTAGGTTTTGCTGGTGAATTTTGATTGGTGCTGCTTAGGTATGAAGGTAGAAATATTCATAGGGCGTATCTTTATTTTTAAATTTAATGATATCAGTGTAAGAATGGGAGAGGCTTTTATTTCTTACGTGGTGTTTATTTGCATATTGCTCTCCTTTATTCTTCTCCTTTTAAGGAATGAAAACTGGTCACAGATTTGAGTTTGCCATGCTGTCCTGACTCTCTCTCTCTCCTAGGTTGAGGAGATTAGAAACAGTATCGATAAAATAACCCAGTATGTTGAAGAAGTAAAGAAAAACCACAGCATCATTCTTTCTGCACCAAATCCAGAAGGAAGTAAGTTGTTGGCTTTTAAAAAAAAGTTTGTCTGTTTGTATGTGTCTCTCTCTTGCTGTCTGCAGCACAGGCTTCAACTCTGGGTTCAGGGGAGTTGAATGCTGACACCTACAAAATGCTGACACCCTAGAGAGGTGAGCCAGGGCATCTGTATGGCTGTTGTTTAAGCTGCCCGTATGATTGTGGTGGTCAGCCAGGGGGAGGACCACTGATGTACCATATCCTACAGAAGACGTGAAAGTGGCTGTGCAGAACCCAGGGGCTGTTTCAAAAAAAGAGCACAGCTCAGCAAGACAGAATTGTATGTTCCGAGGGCAGCGATTCAGGGATCGATTTGGAAAACAGTGCTCGTAAGAGCAGGGTGAAAGATGAGGACACACTGAGGGGCTCTGCAAGTCTCAGGGAGGAGCCTTTGCACGGAGTGTGCCGCGCTCAGTGTCTGTGGAGGATGGCACGGAAGCAATGTTTCCTTCCTTCACCTGCCTCTCCAAGTTCTCCCTGCCTCACATTCGCTTCCTTTTGAATCTAAGGCAAGTGGCAGAATGAAGCAGCTGGAGAACTTGGATTTTTGTCCCAATTTGCTTCCCACAGTACTTACATCTCCTCATTGGGAGAAAAGACAAGATTTTAAATTAACTCAGGGGCGTGGGAGCTCTAGAGAAGTGTTCCTTTGCTCTGGAACGAGAAGTATGGAAAGCTTTGCCAGGGGCATGGATCTGAGCAGGCCAGAGATTGCAACCTGGAGTCGGCCGTCATGGCGGGGAGTTGCTGTGTTGACAACACTGAGTGTTATCATCCTGGAAACAGCCCCTGCCGCCAGGATTGAGGTCGCCTTCCATGCCTGTCAGTGCGGTGCTGTTGGTTCTGAGGAGGGTCTCACATATCTTTTGTTGTATTTATTCGCAGGTAGCCGCTGTTTTGATTTCAGTGGAAGTCGTATCTACTGTAAACGTCATTGTCCCTTTGTTGTTAGTGTGGGAATACAATGGTTTTTATACATAGGCCCTGTATCTTTTGCCTGTAGAGCCACAGTCGTACAGGGTTGTGGGGTGTCCCTTTTCACTGCTGAGGTGCAGGATCCGAGAAATAAGGAGACAGGACACAGAAGGACAAAGAAAGCGCAGCTGGGCTCGTGGGGGGGGCGGGGGCCGAGTCACCTATAAGCGGAGACAGGCCAGGCCCGGAACGCCCAGGAGCATCTGTATTTATTGGGTATAGGTTAGGGGGCAGGGCAGTGAGTGAAGTCATCCGAAGGACAGTGATAGGGGCAAGACAATCACGTGAGCAGTAAACAAGGGGTCCACCCTCACTAGGTCACCTAGGCTAGGAGGTGGGCAGTGTGCAGCAAGGGGTCCACCCGGGTTAGTCACCGAGGCAGGGCGGTGGGCCGTGTGCGGTGAGCAGGGTGCAGCGTGCAATGTCTCTTATCTCGGGGCCGGCTACTTCTAAGGGTTTCTATAGGAGGATGCTTTGAGCAGCGACAGAGCTGACCAGGTCTACCGCCTCCTGCTGGCGGCTTCCAGTGACTTCTATAGGAGGACGCTCTGAGCAGCACAGGAGCCAGAGAGCTGACAAGTTACACAGTCACCACGGTGCCGTCATACCGGAGGGGTCGTAAGCCCTCGGACGCTTGAGGATTGCCGGTCTGAGGGCGGCCTTCCACAGGAACTGGAGCAAGGTCCTACGACTCCTTTATCAGGAGGAGAGGCTCTCGCCCCAGGCCTGCCATACAGCGGGTGTCTTTACGATGCTGAACGCTGCCGCCTGGGCCATGGATTCCTGTCCTGGTCTAACTGTTTTCCCTTAAATCATGCTCTGCACCGTGTCTGCTCTAGGCATTCCTCCGACTATGAACTAAGGTACAATTATATGTATATATATATTTAGATAGGGAAATACCTGAGTAGTAAGATGTTCTTCAGGCGCTAATTCTATAAACTAATATGTGATTATATAGAGGATTGTATAAAGGAAATGACTGAGTAGTAAGATGTTCTTCAGGCGCTAATTCTATAAACTAATACGTGATTATATAGAGGATTCTATAAAGGAAATGACTGAGTAGTAAGATGTTCTTCAGGCGCTAATTCTATAAACTAATATGTGATTATATAAAGGATTCTATAAAGGAAATACCTGAGTAGTAAGATGTTCTTCAGGCGCTAATTCTATAAACTAATATGTGATTATATAAAGGAAATGACTGAGTAGTAATATATTCTTCAGGCGCTAATACTATAAACTAATATGTGATTATATAGAGGATTCTATAAAGGAAATGACTGAGTAGTAAGATATTCTTCAGGCGCTAATTCTATAAACTAATATGTGATTATATAGAGGATTCTATAAAGGAAATGACTGAGTAGTAAGATATTCTTCAGGCGCTAATTCTATAAACTAATATGTGATTATATAAAGGAAATGACTGAGTAGTAAGATGTTCTTCAGGCGCTAATTCTATAAACTAATATGTGATTATATAGAGGATTATATAAAGGAAATGACTGAGTAGTAAGATATTCTTCAGGCGCTAATTCTATAAACTAATATGTGATTATATAGAGGATTCTATAAAGGAAATGACTGAGTAGTAAGATGTTCTTCAGGTGCTAATTCTATAAACTAATATGTGATTATATAGAGGATTCTATAAAGGAAATGACTGAGTAGTAAGATATTCTTCAGGCGCTAATTCTATAAACTAATATGTGATTATATAGAGGATTCTATAAAGGAAATACCTGAGTAGTAAGATGTTCTTCAGGTGCTAATTCTATAAACTAATATGTGATTATATAGAGGATTCTATAAAGGAAATGACTGAGTAGTAAGATGTTCTTCAGGCGCTAATTCTATAAACTAATATGTGATTATATAGAGGATTATATAAAGGAAATGACTGAGTAGTAACACTGTAAACTGAAACATTCTTCAGGCACTAATTGTGCCCGGAATCCGCTTACGTCTCCTTCCTCAGTGCCCAGGTGGGGGTCCCCACACTTGCCTAATAGTTAATTCCAGTATTCTCTGTGGATTGTGTTGGTTTTCTCTGTACCCACTCATCATGGTGAATAGTGACCGTTTCTCTGCAGCTCTTAGGCTTTTGAGTGACTTGGTTTCTGACCTCCAGTACAGTACGGAACGGAAGTGGTGATGGGGCTCATGTCTTCTCGGTCTTGGAGGAAAGCTACCGCAAATACCTTTTTGTTGGAATTTTACTTAATGCAGCCATGCATTGAAAAAGTAAGAAAGCGGTATCAGAGAAGACATTTTAAACGTTTGCCTGTCTTGGAAAATAATGTTCGGAGCCTCTGTGCCCTCTCAGTGACTTACAAGTGCGTTTCCCGAAATGTTTCCGGAGCCACAGTCCGTGAGCTCACTGTGCATCCAGGGTGCTGTGGCCAGGTACTTCCGCCGGCCTCCCTCCGGGAAGTTACAGTACCCTTAGAATAATAAAGGCTCTGAGAAGGCCTGCTAGAAGGAAGCCTGTTTAGCTTCATTTAGTGTTTCACAGATTTATGTGCCTGTAGGACCTTTTATGTAACATCTGTTAACATCATGCTTAATGCTTAGGAAAATTATATTTGAGTAAGTATCAGCATTTTTTGGAATAATTTACCTTCAGAACATTTTTGATGCCAAGTCATAGCAGATAGAACGAATTTTTGAATAAATTGAGAAGTGTTACTATTTCCTGATGGTCCCTTTCCAGCTCTAAAGAAAACCGTTGCTTTTTGTTTTTTGTTTGTGACCGTGTGAACCAGAATGTAGGCAGCAGCCCCAGCCGCTTCCTTGGTCGGTCTTTAGAAAGCAAAATGCAGTGAGTCTTCTCTCCCAGATGATGCAGAGGGCACAGGCTCCCGGCCTTCCCGCCTGGTTCCCAGAGAAAGCGGGGAAGGTGCGAGGGAGGAAGGGGGACTACAGTGCTCCCCCATCCCCGGGTCTCCGCTACCTCAGGTGGGCGCCCTGTACAGGTCCCGCTGAGCGGGGTGATCCCTGGGCTGCTGCCCCTGCCCCTCCCATCTCCGCCCCGCTGCCACCCCACCCCGCCCACCTCAGGCCCCAGGGCAGGGTCCGGCACAGCGGCCGCCAGGGGGCGCCAGAGGCAGCCGGTCCCGGGCGGGTTCCCGGTCCTAGCACCGCCAGCGCCGCCACCTGCAGCTGCGGGTCCCAGGGCAGAGACGTGGACGAAGGACCTTTTACCTGCATATTTCTTTTTTCACTTCGACTTTTCTGTGTGTGTTTTTTTATTTTTTATTAAAAGAGGGCTTTTGCAAAATGTAGAAATTTCAGCCCCCGCAAGACACAGATCCGCCCTGCAGTGTATGTGATTCGGGTTTGGGTCCTAGTGGCCACCAGGCTGGGATCCATGCAGGATGCGGCGAGCTGATGGCTCCCCGGGCCTGTGGTCCTGCGGTCACAGCCAGCCTGGCTTGCCCTGTGTCCGGGTGCGCTCGGCTTGCGGCTGCCGCGCTCCCGCGTTCTCCGTGTTGTCCGCTTCCCGTTCCTGCCGCGGTTCCCTGGGGCTGCTCAGCTGTGTCTGCGCTGGGACCGCGTGTGATCGTCTCGGTCTCTAGCGCCGCCTGCTCCCGCGCGTTCTGTGCTTTTCTGACTCGGAGACCCGGGTCCTTGTGCGGAGGCCCCTGCGGATTCAAATCTGCTCCACCTGTGTGGCCTTGGACACGTCACTTAACATTTCCTGGGACAGTTCCCACACGAGTGAAACGAGTTAGTAGCGGCATCTGCCTTTAAGTGCAGTTTTGAGTCTCCCCTCACCCCCCAAACGGAGCCTCGCTCTGTCGCCGAGGCGGGAGTCGCCGAGGGAGTCGCGATTGCAGCCTCAGCCTCCTGGGCTCAGACAGTCCTCCCACTTCAGCCTCCCGAGTAGCTGGGATTAAAGGTCTATGCCACTACGCCCAGATAATGTTTTGATTTCTTTTTTCTTTTCTTTCTTTTTCTTCTTTTTTTTTTTTTTTAGAAACGGGGACTATGTTACCCTTCTCCTGTCCCTTCCCCTGCCAGGCATGGGGGCAGCTCATGGGGCTTTCACCCTTCAGAAACGAAGCCACTTACTCCCTGTAAGGAGCTGCGTGGGCAGGCTCCGGAGACGTCCCACTGCAGGGCCTTCCTAGGGAATCTCAGCTCCAGGAACCCTGCCGCGCTCCACCCCAGCTGCCCCCACCACAGGCTGGGACCTCCCCACCCCCCACCACCACAGGCTGGGACCTCCCCACCCCCCACCACCACAGGCTGGGACCCCCCCCCCCCACCACCACAGGCTGGGACCTCCCCACCCCCCACCACCACAGGCTGGGACCTCCCCACACCCCACCACCACAGGCTGGGACCCCCCCCCCCACCCACAGGCTGGGACCTCCCCACCCCACTACCACAGGCTGGGACCTCCCCACACCCACCACCACAGGCTGGGACCCCCCCCCCACCCACAGGCTGGGACCTCCCCACCCCACTACCACAGGCTGGGACCTCCCCTCCACCACCACAGGCTGGGACTTTCCCACCTCCCACCACAGGCTGGGACCCCCCCCACCCATAGGCTGGGACCTCCCCACCCCACTACCACAGGCTGGGACCTCCCCTCTACCACCACAGGCTGGGACCTTCCCACCTCCCACCACAGGCTGGGACCTCCCCCCCCACCACAGGCTGGGACTCCCCCCCACAGGCTGGGACCTCCCCACCCCACTACCACAGGCTGGGACCTCCCCACACCCCACCACCACAGGCTGGGACCCCCCCCCCCACCCACAGGCTGGGACCTCCCCACCCCACTACCACAGGCTGGGACCTCCCCTCCACCACCACAGGCTGGGACCTTCCCACCTCCCACCACAGGCTGGGACCTCCCCACCCCCCCACCACAGGCTGGGACCCCCCCCCCGACAGACTGGGACCTCCCCACCCCACTACCACAGGCTGGGACCTCCCCACCCCCCCACCACAGGCTGGGACCTCCCCACCCCCCACCACCACAGGCTGGGACCTCACCCCCCACCACAGGCTGGGACCTCTCCCCACCACCACAGGCTGGGACCTCCCCACCCCCCCCCCACCACAGGCTGGGACCTCTCCACCCACCCCCACCGCAGGCTGGGACCACCCCCCCAACCACAGGCTGGGACCTCACCCCCCACCACAGGCTGGGACCTCTCTCCACCACCACAGGCTGGGACCTCCCCACCCCCTATCACCACAGGCTGGGACCTCTCCACCCACCCCCACCGCAGGCTGGGACCTCCCCCCCAACCACAGGCTGGGACCTCACCCCCCACCACAGGCTGGGACCTCTCTCCACCACCACAGGCTGGGACCTCCCCACCCCCTATCACCACAGGCTGGGACCTCCCCACCCACCCCCACCACAGGCTGGGACCTCACCCCCCACCACAGGCTGGGACCTCTCTCCACCACCACAGGCTGGGACCTCCCCACCCCCGAACACCACAGGCTGGGACCTCCCCACCCCCCACCACCACAGGCTGGGACCTCCTCACCCACCCCCACCACAGGCTGGGACCTCCTCCCCAACCACAGGCTGGGACCTCAACCCCCACCACAGGCTGGGACCTCTCCCCACCACCACAGGCTGGGACCTCCCCACCCCCCACCACCACAGGCTGGGACCTCCCCACCCACCCCCACCACCACAGGCTGGGACCTCCCCACCCACCCCCACCACCACAGGCTGGGACCTCCCCACCCCCCACTGCCACAGGCTGGGACCTCTCCACCCACCACAGGCTGGGACCTCCCCACCCGTCCCCACCGCAGGCTGGGACCTCCCCCGCTGCGGCCCCCCTGCCCTTGTGGTTCCTTTCCCCTTCCTTCTTCTCTCCTTCAGTGAAGCTACTTTATTATCTGAAATTACCCTCAGTTTAATGTTATTCTGGAGGGTATTCTCGCTGAGCATAAGATTCCAGTTGACAAGTTATCTTCTTTCATTACTTTGAACATTTAAAAACTGTTTTTCCACTGTCTTTTGGCCTTTTTACTTTTTATTTTGTCAGCTAATTAGAGCTTTTAAGATGTTTGGTTTTAGCCATTTCCCTTTTTTTGAGACGTGGTTTTCATTTTCTTTTTCCCTCTTCTCATAAGGCTTCCTGACTCTTTGGATTGACACTTTCTGGCAGTTTTTTGACAAACTTGGGCCATTACTTCTTCAAATGGCAGCCTCGCTCCTTTTCCTGTGGTCTCTCTTTGCGGCTGGAACCGCATGTCTTTTCCAGCTTCTCACGGTGTCCTTTCTGTCTTTTCTCCTTCGTTCTCTGGTGTTTCATCATTTTTCCCTATATATTTATTTTGAAAATGTTTTCCCTGACTTCTCTTCAGCGATTGTCTTTCAGGTCAGGGAATCGTTCTTTATCTATAGAATTATTCTTGGATTTGTTTTAGCTCCTAGAATTCCATTTGGTTCCTTTTAATACTGTCCTATTCTCTGACAAAATTCATGATCTTATATTTTATCTCTTTGAACGTAACTTTTAACGTCTGTGTCTTGTAACTTCATTAACTGGTACCTCTGCGGATAGGTTTATATTGTCCGTTCTTGTTGGTTTCATTCATGTGTTTTTTTCTGTTTGTTTCCCTGATTACTTTTGATTGAGTTTTGGGCTTCATATTTGAATTATTTGTAGTAATAATTTGAATCCTGAATGGTGTTTTCTTTTTAAAGAGATGATTTATTTTTACTGGCAGATGGCTAGCGGCGCCAGCAGTTCCAGATCTAGTTTTAGGGATTGGGATGATTTAGAATGGGGCTCAGGCCCACCCGCTTGTTCCTCCCAGGGCATAGCCCTCCAAGTCAGCACAGTCTTCTCAGCTTCCCTGCAGCTCAGCTTCCTTTTATGGAGTTGGTACATGCCCCAGGTAGAAGTGACTGCGAAGGTGGGGTCCACCTCTTCAGATTTTCTTCTTCTGAATCTTCTTTCCTGCCTTGCTAGGTTTCTCTTTTTTTAAAATTGTTTTATTTATTTATTTTTGCACCTTATTTAGGTTTCTAATGGCTTTACACAGATTTGAAAAGAGGATCGTGTCTACGGTTTTTAATTGTTCTCGGAGGAGGATGGCGCTGATTCACTAGAAGAGGAGGCTCCGGATACTCCTGTCTGGCCTGTGATTTGAAATACCGCCTTTATCAACTATGACCTTGTGGCCAGCATCTGCAGCTTGCAGGGCCAGGTTGCTGGAGCCCCTGTGTGCCTGTCTCGGCAGCGAGTTCAGCCTTTCCTTCTTTCCTTCACAGCCCCCCACCCCTGCTGTGTAAGAGCCAAGGGTTTTCTTTCCCCAGGGCAGTGAGTCCTACTGTGGCCTGCCAGCTGAAGAGGGAGAATCTCATCTACCTGCAGGCCTGGCTCTCAGATCTTGTGTTCTGTGGCTGCGCAGTGGCTCAAGCCTGTCTCCTGAGTTTAGCTGTCCTCAGCTGTGGTCAGGAGCTGGCCTGGCCAGACCCCTGCGCAGATGCCCTTGCTGTGTGTACGTTGTAACTTCGACTCCTGTACTGGGCCCTTGCCTCGAAGGGTGTGTGCATCAGCCTCATGCACACAGAAGCCAGCACTCCTACCACAAACCGTGGACCTGCCCCCTCTTCATTCACAGCAAGTCTCTCCAATTCCTGTTAAATGCCCCATTTTATAACTTTTTTTGTGTGCTCCCTTTACTGTTCTAAAATGCAATTTATAGATGATGTGGCCTACCTCCTCCATAATTAAACAAACATGTCATATCCAAACTAATATGAAGGAGACATAAAATGAAAGTAACTTACACGTTAAAGCACAAGGTCTTTTTTTTTTTTTTTGAGATGGAGTTTCGCTCTTGTTACCCAGGCTGGAGTGCAATGGCGTGATCTCGGCTCACCGCAACCTCCGCCTCCTGGGTTCAGGCAATTCTCCTGCCTCAGCCTCCTGAGTAGCTGGGATTACAGGCACGCGCCACCATGCCCAGCTAATTTTTTGTATTTTTAGTAGAGACGGGGTTTCACCATGTTGACCAGGATGGTCTCTATCTTTTGACCTTGTGATCCACCCGCCTCGGCCTCCCAAAGTGCTGGGATTACAGGCGTGAGCCACCGCGCCCAGCCCGAAGCACAAGTTCTATCATATAGGCTCAGGCACAGCCACACCAGGACACGAAATTCAGGTGCTCACCCTGTACAAACAACTCCTGGGAGCGTGACAGCTAAGACTGCAAACTGAGGAGGCGCTGGGTTTCAGATGCTGTTAGCAGGCTTCCCGTGTTCTTCCTGAGGTGGCCGGTGTCGCTGATATGGGATGAGGGACAACTTTCTCCCTGTGCAGAGCGGTGACATGGCAGTTGCATTCCTCAAAATCCACTGGATGTTGAAACTATGCAGATGAAAATCAGGCTTACTTAGAAGCTGGAGGCAGGTTCTGGGCTCAGGAAGACAGGTCTTCTCTGTGCCTGAGTGACAGTGTGCGTTTGGAAGTGATGCAGGCCGGCGGGTGATGTGCTGATGTTGTAACGAGGTTCTGGGCTGGCATGTCTCAGACAAGCACCAACGCCCTGTCCTGACACGCAGGAGCTACACTAGGATCAAGCTCAGTTCTTCGTTGTGTGATCCTGGCTAGTGCCATTCCTGGCTCCGGTCTTCTGGATGCCAGTAGCTCTTCCTTTTTTTGTGATGACTAGAAATACCCCACAAATTTCAGAATACCTCTTAAGGTGGTAGAAAGATTCCCCTGAGAATCTCCCTTTAGAAAAATGTTCACAGATGGGCTGGGTATAGAGGCTCATGCCTATAATCCCAGCACTTTGGGAGGCTGAGGCGGGCAGATCAGGAGGTCAGGAGACTGAGACTGTCCTGGCCAACATGGTGAAACTCCATCTCTACTAAAATACGAAAATTAGGCAGGCGTGATGGTGCACCCCTATAGTCCCAGCTACTTGGGAGGCTGAGGCAGGAGAATCGCTTGAACCCAGGAGGTGGAGGTTGCAGTGAGTCGAGATCACACCACTGTACTCTGGCTTGATGACAGAGCAAGACTCCATCTCAAAAGTAAAATAAAATGAAATGAAAAATATTCACAGAGGAGAACCACTAAAGGCCCCTTTGTGTCTAGTCTCTCTTTTTTTTCTAGTTTCATCTGTCATCAGAATAATCTTTTGCTGTTTTTAATTTTTTCTTTTTCTTTCCTTTTTAAAATAGATATGGCATCTTGCTGCTTGCCCAGGCTGGTGTTAAACTCCTAGGCTCAAGTGATCCTCCTGACTCAGCCTCTCGAGTAGCTGGGACTACAGATGCACCACTGTGCCCCACTTAAAAATAATCTTTCTAATGCATCTTTGCTGATATCTTTCTTTGCTCAGAAACCTCCAGTGCTGACTGGTGCTCAGAAAAATCCCTGAACTCAGGCGGGCCTGCATACTCCTGCCCAGCCTGCCTGTAGGAAAAGCTCCAAGCTCAGGAGGGCGCGCATACTCCTGCCCAGCCTGCCTGTAGGAAAAGCTCCAAGCTCAGGAGGGCGCACATACTCCTGCCCAGCCTGCCTGTAGGAAAAGCTCCAAGCTCAGGAGGGCGCACATACTCCTGCCCAGCCTGCCTGTAGGAAAAGCTCCAAGCTCAGGAGGGCGCACATACTCCTGCCCAGGCGGCCTGTAGGAAAAGCTCCAAGCTCAGGAGGGCACGCAAACTCCTGCCTGGACGGCCTGTAGGGCCTCCGCCCGCACCAGTTACTTGAGCTCACATTCCTGCTGCCCTGTGCTGGAGGCCCTTCCCCTGCCTGCAGTGGAAGCTGCCAGTCTCTCACTCCCAGGTCAGATGTCCCCTCCTGCGGGACAGCTGGCAGTAGATGCCCCTCCTCCTGGCTGCCCATGGCGTTTTGTGAAAGCTGTCTCTTCTCTTGTTAGTTTCTGCCTGGCATTGTTGCTTCTTGGGTTTGTCTTATCTTTTTTACGAAGCTGTTAGATCCCTGGTGATCTTTTTAGCCTTCTTAGATAACACGAGTCTTTGCACATGTGCAGTACTCAGTAGGTGTTACTGGTGCATGACCTCTCCCCTCTGGAGATCACTCAGTCTCTGAAACCCTGGAGGAGCCAGTCTGCCTCTGCCGACCATAGCTGGGCACGGACAGAAGACTGAGCATGCGCTCGTGTGCAGTAGATTCTCAGGGCACCCTGTGTGTGCTCAACTGAGGGGTCCCAGGAGGAGAATGGGCATCTCTGGAAGCTTTCATTCTTGGCCAGGTTGTCTGTGGCAGAAATGTTTGCGTTTTCCCCAGCTGATGCCTGTGAGACTGAGTGAGAAAGGCAATGCAGGGCTCCAGAGATGGCGAGGCCTTCCCGTCTCAGCCACTTCTGCCCAAAAGAGGGAGAAACCCCTCAGGTCACTTCAGCCACAGGACTAGTGAACGTGAGTGTGTGGTGTGGGGCAGACATCCTGCCGCCCTCCCGGGCTCTGGGGCAGCTGGGTGTGAAAGCAGAGGCTCCTGGGGCGGCCTCAGCTCTCAGCACCTCCCTGGAGTATTGGCCCCTGCTCTGCCGCTGTCCCTCCGTGTCCAGTGGCACTGAATTGGTGGCTGTGATTATGTGGGCACCTTGGGGAGACAGCTGAGAGCACGGGAGGAAAGCAAACACACTGGAGACTGTTGAGACCATCGTTATGGCTCCGTTTTCCTTTCTCAGGTCTAGGTGTTAGCAGTGCATTTAGGCAGCAGTTTTGTTAACTGGTATAGACCAGCAAGTCTCAAACTTTGTGACACGGAGGGTTTGCTAACTCGGGTTTACTGGGCCACAGCCCCCCAACCCAAGCAAAGTTTCTGACTGAGTAGGTCCAGGGTAGGGCCCCAGGGATTTGCATTTCTACTAAGCTCCCACCTCATGCTTATAAAAGTTGCTGTCTGCGGTGGGTAGGAGATGAGGACCCACCTTGAGAACCACTGGTATAAGCAGTAATTTCTCTTACAGGAAAAAGTGAATATTGACTAAGAATACTGTTTCACTTGAATTTACTGGACATCATTAATGTTGAAGGTTATAGCTCAGATGCTGTATTTTTTTATTTTAAATTTTTATAGAAATAAAAGAAGAGCTTGAAGATCTGAACAAAGAAATCAAGAAAACTGCGAATAAAATTCGAGCCAAGCTGAAGTGTAAGTTTAACGTTTTATGTTTCGTTGTGATGTTGGGAGTGTGGGTATTTCTTATTTTATTCTTTATTGGTTTTTGTTCTTTTACATTTTTAAAAGTTAAAATTGTGACTGCTTTAAAATAAATTATTTGTGTGTAATTCAGAGTATTCATATTCAAAAAGATGGTGTGTTTGCTTATAAACTGTGACACTGTTAGGTTTCTTGTGACGTTTCAGGCTGCATTGCAGATGTTGGGAAGGTGCGTGGCCAGGCTCTTCCTGAGTGGACCCTTTCACTGCTCAGTGTTCTCGGGCTTCCAGGAGAATTTGCTTCGTGATGTTGGCATCCCGCCGTAGCAGCAGTAGTTCTTGGGAGGCTTATGGCTTGTGCCTGGGACTTAAACAGAGGTTTTTTTTTGATTTGGTAGAACAGATTGTATTTGATTTTTACAGAATGGCGGCATCAAGATAAAAAAATGGTCTCTGTGCAGATGATAAAATGCTTTTATTATGGCAAGTTTCAGATGTGTGCAGAAGCAGAGAAAGGCAACCACAAGCCGAGCCCCCCCCCGGCTCCGCAGTTCTCCATGAGCTCCCCCAAAACCCGCTCCCAGACCATGCTGGAGTCATCCCAGGCATCTGAGATTTCATCAGTGTGTATTTTAAAAACAGAAACTTCCCTGAAACACAACCACAATTATATCTAAACCAAATTCAGTGTAATTACTTAATATTACAAAATATCCAGGCAGAGTTTGTATTTCCCCAGTGGTCTTGTGATTTGTTTTTTGGTTTTCTTTTTGTCAGTTTGCTTGAATTGAGTCCCGGATAAGGACCAAACTCGGGCTTTTAAGAATGAGATTCTCCCTTCGTCTTTTTTCCCTCTGGCACTTTTCTGCTTTGCTTGGTGAAGCCGGGTAATTTGTCCTGCGGAACCTGCCACACGGCAGATGTTGCTGGGTTTACCCCTGCAGCATGCTTCATAGGCTCTGCCGTCCTCTGAATTTGCTGTAGGTTGGTAGGTAAATTCTCCAACCTTCATCCGATTCAAGTGTTTTTTGTGGTTTTTAAAAGGTAAAGGTGCAGCATCTGATTACAGATTTTACATCCTCATGGTTAGTTAAGATGTTAGTGGGGACATTAACGTTTTTTCTTGGCTCTAAATAATTTCAGTAAAGTTTTAAATAAGATATAATGTTCTTTCCCATTCCATGGTATTGTCAAAAATGGATGATTATTTTCAAGATCCATAATTAATTAGAAGTTGCTGGCCGGGCACGGTGGCTCACGCCTGTAATCCCAGCACTTTGGGAGGCCGAGGCGGGTGAATCCCGAGGTCAACAGATCGAGACCATCCTGGTCAACATGTTGAAACCCCATCTCTACTAAAAATACGAAAAATTAGCTGGGCACGGTGGTGCGTGCCTATAATCCCAGCTTCTCGGGAGGCTGAGGCAGGAGAATTGCCTGAACCCAGGAGGCGGAGGTTGCGGTGAGCCGAGATCGCGCCATTGCACTCCAGCCTGGGTAACGAGTGAAACTCTGTCTCAAAAGAAAAAAAAAAAAAAAAAGAAGTTGCAAGCAGTAATTGTTTTTTTTTTGAGATGGAGTCACCCAGGCTAGAGTTATGTGGCGCAATCGCAGCTCACTCACTGCAACCTCTGCCTCTCGGGTTCTCTACCTCAGCCTCCCAAGCATCTGGGACAACAGGTGCGTGCCAGCACACCCTGCTAGTTTTTGTATTTTTAGTAGAGACAGGATTTCACCATGCTGGCCAGGCTGGTCTTGAACTCCTGACCTCAAATGATCCGCCCGTCTTGGCCTCCCAAAGTGCTGTGATTACAGGCGTGAATATCCTGATGTTATTATTCCTTCTTTGTTTAGTTGCTGCCCTCTCCCCTTCAACTCTCAAACTGGATAAAGTTTGGAGACTTTAACTAGCAGCCCACAGCAAATACATGTAGGCCAGCAGAGCCTGTTAAGCGTGTCACAGGGTGAAATCAGCAAAATGAGCGTGGCCAGTTCTGTGGGACAAATGACGTGGCTTCTTTAGTCAAGGGAGCCAAAGGGCATACCGGGGCACAGGTCACAGAGGACAGAGCGGATCAGCACTGGACTCTCTCTGGTACAACTTTCATAGGTCAGGTCCCTGGAGTCCTGCAGAGATGACCAGAGAGACTCTGTGGTTGGTTCTTGTCTATCATCGTGAACGCATGGATGTAAACGTGACGTTTTCACTGCTGCGTTATCCTTCATGCTCAGATGGTCTCTCTGGCTGGTGAGGTGGACTCGGGAGTCCTTTCAGCAGGCCCTCGTTGTCTCTGATGGCTTTTCCGCTTTCTGCCCTGACAAAATGACCCATGCTCATGTCACCCCTTTCCTGCCCTGGGCCTGGTATCAGCCGTCCCCAGGGAGCCCTGTGACTGAAGAATCTTATCTAGACACCGAGGTGGGCATGCTGGAGAATGTGCTGCCATACCTGACAATGACTTGACCATTCTTTCCTAGGCTTTTTCAGTGGGCAGGGCTAAGATTCTTTTAAAGGATGAAATGAAGCATAATTTCCTACTGATACTGCAAACTAAGAAGAAAGGAGGATTAAAAGCATTTTGAAAGGATTTTTACTTAATATGGGCAATATGACGTCTCTGTCCCTTTCAGCTGTGCCCCGAATTCTGGTTCTCACTGACACATAATTACTCACTTGCTATCCACAGTACAATACAACAGACTCAAAATAATTATGCCAGCACCTACTGTCAAGAGTGTGATTATTTAAAAGTAGGTTTTTTGTCATTCTTTTTGTCTGTAGGTATATCCCACTGGGCTATATAATCAAATTACTTTTTCTTCTTGTCTGACCCGCGGTCTGGCTGTGCTGGCCGGGCTGGAGTGCAGTGACTGTTCACAGTGTGATCATAGTGCACGACAGCCTCGGACTTCTAGGCTCGAGTGACCCCCCAGCAGTTGTGACCATAGGCACGTGCCGCTGTGTCCAGCAGCAAGTCACTGGGCTTTAAAGTTACTTTGAATAGTTTTTCCTCTGTGTGTGATTTATTTACTTATTTTGAGATGGGGTTTCACTCTTGTCCCCTAGGCTGGAGTGCAATGGCGCCATCTCGGCTCACTGCAACCTTCGCCTCCTGAGTTCAAGCGATCCTCCTGCCACAGTCTCTTGAGTAGCTGGCATTACAGGCATCCGCCACCATGCCTGGCTAATTATTGTATCTGTAGTAGAGATGGGGTTTCACCATGTTGGCCACGCTGATCTTCAACTCCTGACCTCAAGTGATCCGCCCGCCTGGCTCCTCCCAAGGTGCTGGGATTACAGGCGTGAGCCACCACGCCTGGCTCCTCTGTGTTTATCTCATTAACTTGATTACTGTTAGCTTTGTTTTATTTTGCCCTTGAAGTTTAGGGATTAATTTTTTAAATGTCTAATTTTGCATTACAGTTCGCGAAGTATTTATGTCATTCTGAAGGGAAATTATACACATATTCGGAGTCCAGCTTCTTTGTTCGTTCCCCGCTTGTTTCTCCTTTCCCTTTAGTGGTACCCAGTTTTAAAATGTGTTGGTTATCTTTTCATTTCTTCGTATGAATAAATACGTATTTGTACACATGTGTCTATATCTATGTATATGTGGATATATGTGTGTGTATATATATATATATATATATATATATATATATCTGTGTATATCTACACACATATATTTCTCAAGAGCAGTAACAATTTCCTCTTGATGGGGCTAGGGGTGGTGGCTCACACCTGTAATGCCAGCACTTTGGGATACCAAGGCAGGTGGATCACTTGAGCTCACAAATTCAAGACCAGCCTGGGCAACATGACAAAACCCTGTCTGTACAAAAAATACAAAAATTAGCTGGGTGTGGTGGCACTTGCCTGTATTCCCAGCTGCTTTGGAGGCTGCGGTGGGATGATTGCTTGAGCCCAGGAGGCAGAGGTTGCAGTGAGCCGAGATTCTGCCACTGCACTGCAGCCTGGGTGATAGAGCCAGACCTTGTCTCAAAAGACAGTTTTCCTCTTGATGGATTGTCTTTTTAGTACGTTGTTTTAAAAGGTCACTTGTTCACTAACTTCAGCTTTATAGCTACTTCAAAGATAAGAAAGAAAAGGAATTGGAAGTTAGGCTTGAAAAACTTGTTTTTGAATTTGGAAGGTAATTATTTTCTGTTTGTTCCTAGCGATTGAACAAAGCTTTGAACAGGATGAGAGTGGGAACCGGGCTTCAGCAGATCTTCGGATACGAAGAACCCAGGTTTGGTATCAGCCTCGTCTAGACTGAAGTAATGTTGCAGAATAAGTGCTTTTACTTTCTTCTTGCAAACTCTGAATCATTTCATCTTTCCTGTCATGCTTAATCTCATAGCATTTCTGCATAAAAGGAATATAGTATATTGTTAAACAAAAGTATCTGAGACAGAGGTCTTTTTTGCCGAAGTTGAGGACACGCTTGGAGAAAAGAAATAGAAATGACAGTAGGACCTGTGGCCTGTGCCTTTCCCGAAGAGGGTTTGAGGACTTCAGAATTTAAAGGGGAAGGAGCGGGCAGGAAGGAGGAAACGAAGAAAGAGAAAGGAGAAAAAGTGGGGGTAGGCAGTGGTGTGCCACATTGGTGAGGCTTTGGTCAGTGCCCACCGCATGCCATTCACGGTGGCATACGGGAAGAGAGGCGTGGGGTCGATTCTGCACTCCTGTGCCCAGATCTGCCTGGTATCCGGGATAAGGCAACCCTGAGTCGAGGGCGGAGCCGCACATGCATTCCCCTCAGGATGGATGGGCTGGGCGGGTGGCTCCTAGTGTGGTGTTTGTCCTACATGCGTTTCTCTGGGGGTGGCCTGGGGGGTGGCTTCTAGTGTGTTTGTCCTGTTCCTGGGAAGATAAGCCGCTGATTTACATTGTCAGGGTGAGTTCAGCAGCACTCTGTTTTGGGGTTTGTTTTTGTGGGGATATGTATTCTGAAAGATTCTGGGACCCACAAGGAATTTCTGTGTGAGCACTCTGTGAGGGAGGCCTGCTGCCATGGCAGCCATCTGTCTGGGAAGAAGGAAGGCAGTGTTTTGCATGACTCGTTCCCAAGTTTAACTTTCCCTCGGGTAGTGAGTGTGGGGTCCTGCGATTTTATTTTCCTTTCACAGTATTTATAGACCATCTCTCTGTCGTGAAGAAAATCTATTCAGCCCATCCACGAGTTCTGCTCTGAAGAGCAGAGAGTTCTCCAAATCATGTTAGTGTTTGTGGTAAGGTTGCCACATTTCAGTGGTTTGTGGTGCAGCCCAGAGGAACACAGAGCTCTGAGCCCTCCGGGGCACGAGGCAATGAGGCGTGCAGGCTCTGGTCGGCCTGCCTGGGTTCTAGCACTGATCCTCTTTTATCAGAAAAGCCTGCGACTTTGGACTAATTACCCCAAAGTCATGGTTTTCTCTCAGTAGGGGATACGACTGGTATAGTAGCGTTCTTGCGAAAATTCGGTAAGATCATGCAAAGTTCTTAGCGCAGATGCTGTCATGGGGACGTTGCTGCTGTCCTTTTCCGTTCGCAGGAGCAGAATAACATGTAGTTTGAGTTTCCAGAATGCGTGTCTAGCGTGTCGCTTTGAGTGGAAGGCCTGGCCGGCAGATGCGAATGCCGTCTTCCTGTGTTGTTAGCATTCGGTGCTGTCTCGGAAGTTTGTGGAAGCCATGGCGGAGTACAACGAGGCACAGACTCTGTTTCGGGAGCGGAGCAAGGGCCGCATCCAGCGCCAGCTGGAGATCAGTGAGTAACGGAGACTCTGTCTTTGCTAAAATCATGTTTTTCTCCCTTAAGGTCTCACTTGAAACAACTTTAGTTTCAGAATTCCGTATCTGTTTTCACCAATGCTGTAAAACCCGAAGACCCCTCACAGCTTCCTGTGCCGTGACTCAGGCACACTGTTCTGATTCTTCAGGAAGCCCTAAGCGGTGGCGTTTACCTTGCTTGTTGCCATTGCTTTCAGAGCTTCGGGGAGGTTGGGAGAGTGCTCAGTCATTTCCTCCTTGAGTGTTTCTGTGTCCTCAGCCCCGTCCTGCCCTAGTTCAGGGGCGTCTTCATGGCTCCCCATAGCTCTCCTTGTCTGTGAGCAGAGGCAGCGGCCTTATTGCCCCAGACTCTTTTCAGGGGTGTCTGTGGGGGCGGTTGGTCATGGCAGTAGAGATGGCGCCTTCCTCTGGGCAGACAGGTCTGTTGCGGGGATGAAGGTTGGTTAGGTTTGCAGACTCCCCATTATGAAAGATTGGGGTTCCCAAGCTCGAGTCCTTAGCTGAGACACAAACCCACTGTGGGGATGTCCCACTGTGGCTGCTCTTCCTCTCCCCAGGAGATCGGGGCTGGGGACAGCCGCTCATAAGCTTCAGGCTGCGTGGCCTGCTGTGCTGTGAGTAGGAAGGCCCTTTGTCCCTGACCTGGGGCCTTGGGAGCCCTGGCAGATCATCGTGTCAGCTCGCAGGTCAGGTGAAGACTCAGGCTCGTCCCCTCAGAGAATGTTGTCGTATGCCCGCCAGGCTGCTCGACCTCATCCTGCCGCTCAGCAAGGCTCCTTATGCTGTAGATTCTCTTTTCCAATGTGTTTGGTTGTGGTCAGTTTCTCTTCTTTGTCTGATCTGCCTTGAGCCTCGTCTGGTGTGTTTCATCTCAGACGCTATGGTTTCCGTCGCTAGAAGTTGCGCCGGGTCTTTCCCATGTTTTCCGTGCTGGTCCCCAGCACACCTGGGACGCGCTTGAGGTAACCTCTCCTGTCTTTGTCAGCCAGTTCCAGGTTCCGTGTCTGCTCTGGTTGGTTGATTTCTTTCCTTTCTGTGACTTGTGTTTTCTTGCTTCTTTGCAAGCCTGGTAAATTTCGAGTGTATGCCAGACATCGTGAAGGTGACTTGGTTGGGTGCTGAGTATTTCTGTGCTTTGTGTTCTGAGTATTTTTGTCAATCTCCTTGGGCTCTGTTTTGGAATATAGTTAAGTCACATGAGCACGGTTTATCCTTTGGGATCTTGCATTTAAAGGGACCAGAGCAGTGTTATTTGAGGGTCTGTCATTCCTCACTCCTGCGGCAAGATCCTACTGAGTACCTGCTCTGATGGCCGTGAACCTCACGGTGCCCTCGTCTGCCTGGGAGCCTGTTCCTTCTGGCATGCCAGCCAGGACTCCAGTGAGAAGTGGAGACTGTGCAGCTCACTGTCTGCATCATCTCTCTCGTCTCTACTCCATCTTGCAAATCCAGTTGCCTTGGCCTCCCCTGCGCTCTGTGCCTTTTGCTTAGGACCCCCCCCGGGTCCCCCGGGGCCCTGCCTGTGGCTGACCAGCAGCAGGCCCACGTGGCTTCTTTGCATCTCTTGGGGATCACTGTGTGTGGCCTGATGCTCAGTGTCTTGGAAATCATTGTTTTGTAGATTTGGGTCAGTTTGTTGTAGTTATTGCAGGTGGCAGGGAAAATGCAGTCCCTGTTACTCCATCCTGGTGGAATTGCTGGCTCAATCATAATGCCAGCCAGGTTGCTTTTCTGTGAAAAAGGTTTTGCAAACCACTTTGACTTCAGGGATCCGTTAGTACTCTTTAAAGTGAAAGTCGTCATTACAAGGCAGCCGGTTGCCTGATGCGCTGTGAGGATTTGTGCTCCGGGACTCTGTGGTGGGCGCTGTTCTAGCAGATTCCCCAGCCTGGGGTTGAAGACCCAGCACCGTCTCTCCTGCAGGCATGTCCTGTCTGCACTCCCCACGTGAATCCCGTGGCGTGATCAGATCACCCGAGTCTCTTCTCTCTTTCCCACACTCTTCTGTCTCAGCCCACAGTAGTTCATTCCCAGTGTTTCTTCTCTTACAGTCGTACTCTATCGACTGCAGTAGGGTTCGTGGGAGTGTTTTATAAGCAGGCCAGGCACCATGGCTCACGCCTATAATCCCAGGACTTTGGGAGGCTGAGACTGGTGGATCACCTGAGGTCAGGAGTTGGAGACCAGCCTGACTGACATGGAGAAACCTCATCTCTACTAAAAATACAAAATTAGCTGGGTGTGGTGGCACATGCCTGCAATCCCAGCTACTTGGGAGGCTGAGGCAGGAGAATCGCTTGAACCTGGGAGGCAGGGGTTGCAGTGAGCTGAGATCGCGCCACTGCACTCCAGCCTGAAAAACAAGAATGAAACTCCGTCTCAAAAAAAAAATGTTTTGTAAGCAATGAAGAATCGTATACATGTTGGAAGTTTTTTTTAGTAATTCCTTTAAGTCTGTTAAACTCTAAACCCTCCATGTGTCTGTTCTGAGGCGAGCAGGTCTATGCAAACTTACCCCCAAAGGCTGAGCAAGCTGAGAGGCCAAAAGAGGAGGCTACCATCCAGTTTCTCAGAAAGAAGCATTGAACAGGGACGTATGATCAGGAGCCTCTGAGAGACAGAGACACTGGACCCACACCCGCCCTCCCTCCAGAAAGCGCTCTTTCCATAGCGGGCTTTCAGGGTAGGTCGTGTGCAACCTTCACATCTTTAGACTTTCGGGACAGGACTTGGAACCACAGGTGAGGCTGGAGGAGCATCTGGATGTGAGCTTGTCTGTGCTGCAGGCATTGTCTCCGGACCTCGTTGCAGAATGTCTTGCATGCAGGAGTCAAACTGGTCATCGTGGCAGTTTTGCTTCAGGATGGCATCACTCTGGCCACACAGCAGGTGTCTTCCTGCAGTGGCCTTCTCCAAATCCTTGCACCTAGAACAATTTTTTCCCTTTCTTTCTTCCTTCTGTCAGCCCTGTGGTCAGGCAGTTTCTTACCTTGTATCACAGGATCTCTTTTCCTCTGTTGTTTGCTTTATTTCTTCAAATGGTGAGTTTTTCTTGTGCCAGGGCATGTTATATAGGTCCACAGTGAATGGCTCTGGAATGGCTGGGACTGTGTGTGTTGCAGAGTGCAGAATTTTTCAGGTTTTAGGAGGATAGTACAATGTAAAGATGTGTGTTATGGATCCCCAGGTAGGGTGTAGGACTGCACCCTCTCATCAGACACACTAGCACAGCTCCCCAGAGAAGTATGAGTAGTCACAATAAACAGGAGAAGATTATAAACAGCCTCGACTCAGTTTAGGTCATATTTTGCCACTCATTGAATTTGGCCCTCAAGCTTAGGAGAAAACCCAGTTTTCACGATGTTTTGGATTTCACAGTTCCAGAAAGGGAATTATGAATGTACACTGCACTTCACACGCCCCAACACCAGGTGCTTTCTCAGACGCAGCAGTGAGCCAGTAGGAAGAGCTCTGTGAGCATGAGACAGCAACAGTCGCTCTTAGTTTCATGTGTGTTTTTTTTGAGAGAGGGTCTCACGCTGTCACCCAGGCTGGAATGCAATGGTGTGATAACCACTTAGTGCGGCCTTGAACTCCTGGACTCAAGGGGTCCTCCCACCTGGGCCTCTCGAGCAGCTGGGACCACAGGAGCACACCACCGTGCCTGGCTAATTTTATTTTTTGTAGAGACCAGGTTTTCACTATGTTGCCCAAGCTGGAATTTCTAGTTTTGATGATTATATTTTACATTGTTTCAAACAGTTTTCATGTTTTTAAAAAAGCAAGGCAAAACTCAGAGTCTCCTTATTGAACTATTTTGAACAGAGTTCTGAACGTTATTTGTATTTTTTGTAGAGATGGGTTCTTGCTGTGTTGCCCAGGCTAATCTCAAACTCCTGGCCTCAAGCAGTCCTTCCACCGTGGCCTCCCAAAGTGCTGGGATTATACATGTGAGCCACCATGTGTGGCCTTAAATAGATTTTTTAATGATTGAGAATTATCTCCCAAAAAACAGTGTAAGGAACAGATTTTGCCATTTACTAACTTATTTTTTCATTAAATGACATCTTAACGTGACTGATAAGTAATTCCCGTAGTATGTGGTGTTTGGCGTATACAGTTAACTTGGTATTTTTAGGTGTGTTTCCACACACAGTCAATTTTAGCACATTTTTATCACCCCAAAAAACCCCACAGCGTCACCTGCCACTCCCCATTTCCTCTTCTCCTAACCCAAGGCAGCGATCATCTGCTCTTCAGCCCTATACATTTTCCCATTTTGGCTGTTTCATATAAATGGACTTACACAGTATGTATTCTTCTGTGACTGACTTCTTTGCCATAACACAGGTTTTCCAAGGTTTAACCATGGGCAGGGCGTGGTGGCTCACGTGTATAATAATCCCAGGATGTTGATTGGGAAGCCAACGCAGGAGGATTGCTGAGGCCAGGAGTTCAAGACCAACTTGACCACATAGTGAGACTCCATCTCTATTAAAAAAATTAAAAAATTAACCAGGCATGGGGTGTGTGCCTGTAATCTCAGTCACTTGGGAGGCTGAGGCAGGAGAATTGCTTGAGCCCAGGAGGTCAAGGCAGCAGTGAGCTGAGATCATACCACTGTACTCCAGTATGGGTGACAGAGACCCTATCTCTACTAAAAAATAAAAAGGGCTGGGCATGGTGGCTTATCCCTGTAGTCCCAGCACTTTGGGAGACCGAGGTGGGCAGATCACTTGAGGTCAGGAGTTTGAGACCAGCCTGGACAAAATGGTGAAACCCCATTTGTACCAAAAAATACAAAACTTAGCCTGGCATGGTGGTGCATGCCTGTAGTCCCTGCTACTCAGGAGTCGGAGGCGTGAGAATTGCTTGAACTCAGGAGGCAGAGGTTGCAGGGAGCCACGATGGTGCCCCTGCACCCCAGCCTAAGCCACAGAGTGAGACCGTGTCTCAGAAAGCAAAACAACGGAACCCACAAGCATCCTTTCTTCCTGTGGCTGCGGACTCCCGTTCAGTCGGGCACCGCGTGGTGGGCATTTGGGCTGTTTCACTTTTTGGCAATCATGAAGAACGCTGCTGTGAACATTCATACCAGATGACCTTTGAATTATGTCAGTTATTCATTTACTTCCATGTTCTGTGGCACAGACCGTGAAAAATAGTAATTGTCAGTTAGGTTTCCAAAAACCTGTGTACGTGTTTCTTAGAAGCCATTACACATGTAACTCAAAAGGAACACGTTAACTTCCAAAATGTGGAAGGTGTTCAGGCATCTGACTCTCACTACACAGACTTTATGGATCCACATTTAATACATGCTCCCTTCAGCTTAACCCCCTTTTACACGAGTCAGAGTCGGACTCTTAGCAAAGCCAGTGTGCCAAAACGTTGTTTGCCAGTCTCCCTTCTGCAGTTGCTTCCCACGAATATTAAAACAACATTGTATTGTTCATAAGATTTATAAAGTTTTTCAGAGTGTTTTTAGTTCTTCCTGCTTCTCAGCCTTAGGTTCATTTCTCATTGTCAGTATCTGCTTCAGAAATGGTTAGAAAAACATCGTTGAAAAATGCTGACGACCCAGTTAGTTGTAGTTGCTAACTACGGCCGCGAACGGGCTTGTTTTTAAATTGTGCTGCATTGTGAGTGGGGCTGTGGCTGCGGGTCTTTCAGCTGGAAGAACCACCACAGACAGCGAGCTGGAGGAGATGCTGGAGAGCGGGAAGCCATCCATCTTCACTTCCGACGTGAGTGCGGGCGCGGCCCTGCGGCTCCCTGTCCTCTGTAGACACAGCTTTTTAGAAACCCTTCAGCTTCCATCATAAGTGTATTAATATTCTCTGTTGTTTTTGTTTTTCCAAGATTATATCCGATTCACAAATTACTAGACAAGCTCTCAATGAAATCGAGTCACGTCACAAGGACATCATGAAGCTGGAGACCAGTATCCGAGAGTTGCATGAGATGTTCATGGACATGGCCATGTTTGTGGAGATTCAGGTAGTTACAGCCTCTCTCATTCTCGAAGAGAGGCATCAGCCATTGTAAACTCTTCTTGCGTCCCGCGCTATCCAGTGGGTGTATCTAGGGAAGCTGTAATTTCGGATCCACCAAATTCAAGTTAATTGCGGTGTTATATGGTGATGCTGAAATGCTGGAAGCAGCTTAGACCGTTAACCGGAAGGCACTGGTCCAGTTCATCAAATTATGGGGTGTTCATAGGTCAGACTTTTAGGCAGCCATAGACAATCTAAATTTTGTTCATGGAGAATTCTTACTGAAATATACAGATATTTGTGCTAGAATTAAGAGAAAAGGGAGCTATAAAGATCTTCTGTGTATGTCAGTACATACGTGTAAATACTTACACACATGTGGCATGAGCTCGGCTCCATAAAATAGTATTCACAGAAGGAAAGGCGTATATCAACTCGTATCAATGCAGCGAGACTGTGGGAGTTTTCATCTTCTCTAAAAGTATTCATTTCAGATTTCTACAAGGAGCATATATTACAGTAATAATTAGGAGAACTATCTGAAAGAAGAAACCCCAAGTGGGCATACAATCTGTGGCACAGATGAGAGCTTGTGCCTGTCACATGGGGTTTCCCGTCTGCCGAGTAACACAGGGAATGACAGCAGGTGTGGGAAGGCCCTTCTGAGTTAATGCAATTCTTAAAAAATATCAGACTCCTTTGGGAGGCTGAGGAGGGAGGATTGCTTATCCCCATGAGTTCAAGGCTGTGGTGAGCTATGATCACACCACTGCACTCCAGCCTGGGTGACAGAGTTAGACCCGTCTCAAAAAAAAGTTACGTGCATGTACGTATCTACTTAACTGAGTGTAAAGTATGGGATGGTGTGTATCTGTGAGGCACATGGACATGTTCACACTTGCTCTTTGAATTATTTCCTCTCCTTGTTTTTCAAATGCCACGGAGATAGGGCTGTGTCACTGGCTAGGATTCAGCTGACCACCAGGTGAAGCAGAAGCATTCATACCAAGCTATCCTAAGTGACCGTTTCCTCCCTCCTCCTGAAGCTGCTTTCAGGGTCTACTTTGGCCGGAGTCATTGCCTACGGAGGTTCACATCTGATGGGCTTATTTTCTGGGACTGCCTGGATTGTGTAAAATGGGATAGGAATCCATCCACACACACAGTTGTTCCTGCCTGCTTCACCAACCTTGTTAGGAAACCCTGTTCATTTTGAGGAACTTCAATCGTGAGAATGTGTGTGAAAAACTCAGGCACCGTGCCTGTTTTTTTTTTTTTTTTGAGACAGGGTCTTGCTCTGTTGCCCAGGTTGGAGTGCAGTGGTACAATCTCAGCTCACTGCAACCTCTGCCTCCTAGGCTCAAGCAGTTCTCCTACCATAGCCTCCCAAGTAGCTGGGACCACAGGTATGCACCACCATGCCCAGATGATGTCTGTATTTCCAAGCATTTGCTAGAGGAAACCAACAGCTACACAGAGGGCAGGGATGGGACCATCTTACTGCTTTTTGATTTTGGGGGCCCCGTTGTCATTCATGATATGAGAAGTGGAGTGTGGGGAGTCTGATTACCATCAGCTACTTATTTTCAGGAAGCATTCCAAAGAAAACCAGCTGGACAGGAAGAATGGGAGATGATTTCTGTAATTACGAAAGCTTTTGTAGTACCTTAGACTTCAGTCGTAATTGTTCTATACCAAACGCATTGCATTCAGCTCTGTTAGAAAAATGGCTGTCTCCCTGGCTTTGTTTCACTGGTTCCTTTTAGAAGTCTGTTGGTACTGCATGATATTGACTCATCTGATGCGAGCGTCCGCGTAGTGAAAGCTTGCTTAGTGAGTCTAAGTTTGTGACTGAGTGAGTTAACTGTCCATCATTCTTCAGAACTTTATTCACTGCTGCAGATTCTGTCTGTCTGTGGACAGAAAACCAGGTAATGTGCTTCCTCCCTCACACGTCGCTGAATTCACCTCCGTTTACATTTTGCTTATTCATTTAGTTAACTGAGCATCAGATATAAGCCATGCTCAGTTGACTGATTTAAAGTAGTAGTGACAATTTCCCACTTTGTAGAAAAGATGTCATTCTTTGTACATTGTCTATATCTGTGCATAATGGTAAAATACTCGTTCAACTGAGAGCTGGCTGCCTCCCTTCACCCTGCCCATCTGTCAAAAGTGTCTGCGTGTTAAAGCTATCTCAGAATTGTGTTGAGATGCCTTTAATTATCAGCATGGTTGCCCATTCCTCTTCATTCTTTTTAAAATATAAATTGAATTTTGATTGCTTTGTCCTGGCACACGTGTAATGGCCTCATCTTTTACCTTTCTGTAAATGTCAAAAACCCCTCAGTATCCATTACATGCACATCATGTTACTATAAAGTTTCTTCTGTGGTTATCTTAAAGATACATAATTAAGCCCTTTGAAAATGTCTTCTAAGTTTGAACCTTTTTGTTTTAAGGGGGAAATGATCAACAACATAGAAAGAAACGTCATGAATGCCACAGACTACGTAGAACACGCTAAAGAAGAAACGAAAAAAGCCATCAAATATCAGAGCAAGGCGAGAAGGGTGAGTTCGGCTTGGAAGAATTAAGCTGTTTTTCTCTGCATTTGGTTTCAAGTTGTAATACATTGCTGTAAGCCTACCGAAAAGGTATGCCAGGGAATAATTAATTAAATAAATGTTGTTTTAAAATGGAAATAATTCTTTTTGCTAAAAGTTTAAAACGTTTATTAGATAAATTATTTATAGTGTAAACCCTTTTGTGTTCTAAGTAACCCTAGGGCTGGGTGTGGTGGCTCACACCTGTAATCCCAGCACTTTTTTTTTTGTTTTGAGTTGGAGTTTTGCTCTTGTTGCCCAGGCTAGAGTGCAATGGCGTGATCTTGGCTCACTGCAACCTCCGCCTCCCGGGTTCGAGCGATTCTCCTGCCTCAGCCTTCCAGGTAGCTGGGATGTGCCACCAAGCCTGGCTAATTTTGTATTTTTGGTAGAGACTGGGTTTCACCATGTTAGTCAGGCTGGTCTCCAACTCCTGGCCTCATGTGATCTGCCCGTCTCAGCCTTCCGAAGTGCTGGGATTACAGGCATTTTGGGGGTGAGCCACTGTACCTGGCACCAAATTGTTGGCTACACATTTGATGCAATGAACATTTCATTTTTTATTTAGGTTGTTTGTTAATTCTTGGTTTGGAGGAAAGAAAAAAATTATTTGAGACTGTGGACCTGCAGTCTTACGTAGCACCCACCTGAAGGGCCCTTAAAAGAAGGGAGGCTCTTTCACTTAAGAGGCATAGACTGTGTGTGAAAAAGGGTTCCGGGCGCCCTCTGTGACTGTCCTGCTGCTTGAAACTTCTTCTCCTAACTTAGGCATTTTCTCACAGTGCCTCTGACACTGGAGAGATTGTGGGGTTTCCACATTGTCACCTCCTTTTGCTAACACGCAGAGATGCTAAGGGTGATATGCGATTTCTAAATGAGTTTTAATTTCTTTGAGTCTGAAGAGTGTCATGTGTGAATGAAAGCTCTTCTGAGAAAACTTAGGAAACCACAAAGTTCATTTCTGCTGCGTGACGGGGGTTCCGCGCATCTCACTGTGTGTCCCTGCCTGGCGGGCCCTGGTTGCTTCTCTCCAGTTGGAGAAGGATGAACACCAAGTACGCAGCCCTGCTAGAGGAGTGTTCCCCTCACACTTGAAGGCTCCTGTGGGGTGCAGTGCCTTTCGCCTAGGCTGATGGCTCAGTGTGATGTCAGCAGAAGTTCCGTAAAGAGATATTTTCACCATGTTAGAAAAAGTGGAGTGAGACTGTGTGTGTGGACGCTCCCCAGGCTGCAGGCTCAGCCGGCAGGGCACAGCCTCTGCTTTTCCTGGGTATGTCTGAGCTCGCTCGCTTCTCTGAAATGCCAGATGTGGTTTCTCATGTTATTTCGTTTATTGCTTTAAAAAAATTGGCCCTTAATGTAAGTTGAGGTGAGGAGACACCTATATAAAAGTGCTTCACTTCATTCCAGGTCTGTTCCTTTCCTCCATGACACAAACATGTCAGTCTGGTGCAAAGGATAGTGAAAGTTGATGGGTTTTACAAAGAAGAAAGGTGGTGGGTGTGATCCATTTTCATTCTCCCGCTGCGGACGAGCAAGCCTGGCTCTCTGAGCAAGCCTGGGCTCTGTGCGGGACCTGGAGTGTAAACTGGTCAGCAACCTGGTGCCCGTTTCAGAAATGACACTGTCTTTTGGATTAGATGCCCAATAGTGGAGACCTCCCGGCTTGTCTCCCTTGTGCCCTTGCCGCTCAGGTGCTTTGCTGCTGCCTCCGGCCCAGGTATGGGTCATCCCCACTCCTGGAGTCCTGCATTTATTCCCAGGGAGCTGTGTGGCCCTTGGAGGCCGGGCAACATTTGCAGAAGGGGTTTCTGTGTGGTATGTCAGCAGCAGTGAAAGAGGTAACAGAAGGCTGAGTGCTGAGAATGTAGGACTTCCTGAAGAGGCAGTGGCGCTGTCCGTCACTGAGCTGGAAGGCCCATACCTCTGTGCGTGCGTGAACTAACTGCATGTCTCAGCCATCAGATACGTGGCCCGATAACATGGTTGTGCTGTCCCCATGGATGAAACCTGAAATAACAGTTGCATGGCAGCTTATCTCCAAGAAGTCTGACCTTACTTATTTTTTAATTTTTGAGACAGTCTTACATGATCTCGGCTCACTGCAGTCTCCACCTCCTGGGTTCAAGGGTTCAAGCAGTTCTCCTGCCTCAGCTTCCTGAGTAGCTGGGACTACAGGAATGTGCCACCACGCCCAGCTAATTTTTTTGTATTTTTAGTAGAGATGGGGTTTCACCATGATGGCCAGGATGGTGTTCATTTCCTGACCTTGTGATCCACCCACTTTGGCCTCCCAAAGTGCCGGGATTACAGGCGTGAGCCACTGCATCTGGCTGAAGTCTGACCTTATTAAGTCACTCTCAAGAACTAAAAATCGCCCAACAGGGGTAAGCAGTGTCCTGTAACTTAGCTTCTAAAATGAGTTCTGCTGGGTTGTTTTGCTCTATTTTATTTTATTATTAGTTTTTTGAGACGGAGTCTTGCTCTGTCACCCAGGCTGGAGTATAGTGGTTTGATCCTCACTCTCTGCAACCTCTGCCTCCTGGGTACAAGTGATTCTCCTGCCTCGGCCTCCCAGGTAGCTGGGATTACAGGCACGTGCCACCATTCCCAGCTGATTTTTGTATTTTTGGTAGAGATGGGATTTCACGCTGGCCAGGCTGGTCTGAAACTCCTGACCTCAGGTGATCCACCCGCCTTGGACTCCTGAGGTGCTGGGATTACAGGCTTGAGCCACCATGCTCAGCCAGGTCTTTTTTTTTTTTAATGAAGGATGTCTTTTAGTTGGCAATATGAAATTAACCATGCATTATATAATCAGCTTGCTTTTCTTTGACAGAAAAAGTGGATAATTATTGCTGTGTCAGTGGTTCTGGTTGCCATAATCGCTCTAATTATTGGCTTGTCAGTTGGCAAATGATGGTGTGGATAACTTCAGCGTGTGTGCCTCTCTGCCAGGGTGGGAGTAAGTAACTCATCGACTAATTTACTTATTAACTTTTGCAATTAACCAATAATAGTGTTTGCCTAATTGTAATAGACTTAAAACTAATAAAAGCTTGCCAGCCATGCAGTACAGATAATGCCATCTAGTGATACATCTGCCTGTGTGCGGATTCTAGTCCCCAGCACTGTGTTTACTGAGAGTAAGCATAGGCTGAGTGGTAACTCATGTTTAAACCAAGCCTACCTTCTTATCCAGTTTTTAAAATTTTTGAGACTGGGTCTTTCTCTTCAGTCACCCAGGCTGGAATGCAGTGACGTGATCATGGCTCACTACAGCCTTGACCTCCTGGGCTCAAGCCATCCTCCTGGCTCAGGCTCCCGAGTAGCTGGGATTACAGACGTGCACCACCACACCTGGCTGTTTTTGAAAACAGTTTTCAGTAGAGATGAGATCTCTCTGTATTGCCCAGGCTGGTCTCAAATTCCTGATCTCAAGGGATCCTCCCCTCAGCCTCCCAACGCTCTGGGATTATAGATAGGTGAGAGCCACTGTACTCAGCCTGAATCTTTTGTTTTTGATCTAAGGAGGCCATTAGCTCTTTATGTGTAGTGGGTCGTTCATTAAATGTCATGGGAATATCAGTGAAGGGCCAGTTGCGGTGGCTTATGCCTGTAACTCCCAGCACTTTGGGAGGCCGAGGCAGGCAGATCGTGAGGTTAGGAGATCGAGACCATCCTGGCCAGGTGAAGCCCTGTCTCTACTAAAGTATAAAAAATGAGCTGGGCGTGGTGGCGGGCACCTGTAGTCCCAGCTACTCGGGAGACTGAGGCAGGAGAGTTGCCTGAACCTGGGAGGCGGAGGTTGCGGTGAGCCGAGATGGTGAGAGAGTGAGACTCCGTCTCAAGAAAAAAAAAAGAAATATGAGTGAAGAGTAATTCTCAGTTAAAAAGTGTTTAATGTTCTGTCTCCTAAGTGTAAACTTTTAGCGTAATTGCAATTTTGTTGTGGAATTGAGGGAATGGATTAAAGCTGAGGAAAACACCGAAATGAAAACCCTTTGACCGTTTCATTTGGCAGCATATATTCTGTCTAAAATACTTTCTTTACTATTAAAAGGAAAATTAGGGCCGGGCGCAGTGGCTCACGCCTGTAATCCCAGCACTGTGGGAGGCCGAGGCGGGCGGATCACGAGGTCAAGAGATCCAGACCATCCTGATCAACAGGGTGAAACCCCGTCTCTACTGAAAATACAAAAGAAATTAGCCAGGCGTGGTGGCGCTTGCCTGTGGTTCCAGCTACTTGGGAGGTTGAGGCGGAAGAAACACTTGAACCCGGGAGGTGGAGGTTGCAGTGAGCTGAGATTGCACCACTGCACTCCAGCCTGGTCGACAGAGCAAGACTCTGTCTAAAAATAAATAAATACATAAAATAAAAGGAAAATTATGTGTTATATTTAGTTAGCATGCCTGTTAATTCTTAAAGAATTCTGAATATAAAAGATACCAGTTTATTTAATGAATTGTTGTTTTTGCTCACTTCGTGAGTATCACCTTTCCTACACATCAGCTGATTTTGCGGCTTCCCTCTGGTTTCCTCACACATTGGGAGCCATGCTTGCTCTACCCTGAAGCTGGAATGCTATTCGGTGTGTTGAAGTTGGACACAGCAGTTACTTCTCTGTAAATGTTTGTTTTGCATAATCCTATAATCCTTGTGATTAGAAAATTGTGAAATGTCCCCAGATGTCTCGAGTGTGGCAAGTTCATCCCTGATGAATTTATTTTGGGTTATGGAAATAACTGCAGACTTCACAGTCACTCAAGGCTTTTTAAAATATTGAGATACAGCATAAAGGAATCACGAGCATAGTCAAGTTTTACTACTGCTTTTTAATCTTTAAGATTTATTCCTTCAACATGGCAACACCTTGTCTCTACAGAAAAAAAATCCCAAAACTAATTGGTCATGGTGGCATGCTCCTATATTCCCAGCTACTCTGGAGGCCAAGGCAGGAGGATCACCTGAGCCTGGGGAGGCTGAGGCGAGAGTGAGCTAGATCGCACCACTGCACTCTAGCCTGGGTGACAGAGCGAGACTCTGTTTCAAAAAAAGAAAAAAAAAGATTTCTGTCTTAAGGTGAGCATCTGTTATGCTCACCATGTGCAGTTATCCGATGAGAAGCTTTCAAGGTAGTGTTTCCACATTTCTGCAAGCCACAACACCACCCCTGAACTTACTCTGTGACCAGCTCCGGGAAGCTGCGTTTCTTACCATTCCATCGTCAGACTCTTTCACACTGTTTTTATTAGGCAGGATGTTGATGTTTCTTTTCTACTTTTTTCCTCTTAGCTCTGCTGAAAATATTGTACATGTGATTTTTCTTCATTGTTACAGTGCTATTTTTCAATATTTTCATGATTCGAACATGTACTTTCTGGGTTTTTCCTAGTAGCTATAACATGGCTAGTTTAATGTGGTTACACGAAAGATAAGATTACAGTTTTTAGCCTGGACACAGTGAAATGCACTACGTTTCATGAGCGCTAATTGGCGTTGAGGTTGAGGAACAGAAGGCTCCTCTCAGTGTGACCCCTGGGGGGTGGGGCCCGGCTGGCCATTTCACCCTAGTGTCTGTAAATAAGAATGAACACAGAAGGATCCTCATTCATCAAAACAGACCAAAATGAATACCAGCGGTTCTCCTGGCATAGGAAGGCAGTGGTTCATGTCCGGAATTTCACTTTTAAAACATGAACATCGTCTTTCATCCTCTAGCAGTTGGCCTTCCTGGGGCTGGGCGCTGCCTCTCCCTGCAGGGCGTGCCTGGTGCAGCCAGTCAGCTGCAGCATGGGTGGGGCTTCCTGCTTCAGGGAGACAGGCGGAGTCTTATAGAGTGTGGGTGAGAGGGCTGTGGCCCAGGCTTGGAGCTGGACCTCCCAGAGTGTGCTCTCTCCACTCCCGCTGTCACCAGAAGATTAGATGACACCTGAGTCCTGCACCTTAGACTCCATGTAGCTGACAGCCATTCTGAAAGCCAGATGTGGCAGGAAAGGGCACACACACGGGGCACCCAGGCACGTGGCAGGCAGCACAACAGCAGCAGAAGATGAGAGCGCCGGGTGTGGAGCTGCCTCCAGGCGGCCCAGCTGCCAGTGTACTCACATGCTGAGCGGGAGGGGTGCGGCCTCCCTCTGCAGGGAGGGAGGCCTCACAGAGCAAAAGGAGACTAGGTTTCTCTAGGAAGGTGCTGAGAGACGGGTAGGAGCACAGTTAGAGGATGAGACGGTGCCTGGGCTTTGCAGGAAATGTGCGTCTTCAGAGCTGGCCAGGCTCAGCAAACAGGAATTCTCAGGTAACAGCACTCATACATTTGGAACTGTAGTTAAAATGATGGATCTCTGCTTTTCAGAAAGAGAACTCAGTCCTACAGCACAGTCCCCACCACCACCTTGTCGTGTCTTCCTTCCTTTCCCTCAGACTAGCTTCCTGGGGACACTCCATTTATTAAGCCAAAGGTGGCCTAGCTTTCCCTTGTGTGAGGATGCTTGTTAATTTGAAAAAGTTAAATGCTGTGCTGTGCCCTGCTTGAAGACTCAATGCAGTAGAAGTATCAATTAATGTCTTGTTGATTTCTTATACATGTTCATCACATTTAAATGTAAAAAATGGATAAGGCCAGGTGCAGTGGCTCATGCCTGTGATCTCAGCACTTTGGGAGGCCGAGGCAGGAGGATCACTTGAGCCCAGGAGTTCGAGACCAACTTGGGCAACATATGAAGATCCTATCTCTTAAAAATATGTGTATTTTAATTAGCCGGGCGTGGTGGTGCATGCCTGTCATCCTAGCTCCTTGGGACACTGAGGTGGGAGGATCGCTTGCGCCCAGGAGGACGTGTTTGCAGTGAGCCCCGTGTCTGTGCCACTGCTCTCCAGCCTGGGCGACAGAGTGATACCTCCTTTCAGAAAAAAAAGGAAAATAGGACTTTTCAGCCAACGAGAAATTCATTTAAAGTTTTAAAAAGATAGGTAATTCATCCAATGAACAGCAGTCCTGGAGTGTGATTAGGATGAAAAGAAAGTACTATTAGGAGCCCGCATGGTACCTTTTCACCCAGGAGCAAACACAGTTGTTGTTTTAATAACACGTATTTTCATTCCTCAGGTATTTTTTACTATTTTTATTTTTCAGATAAACAAGACAGGGTTTCAGTTTGTTGCCCAGTTCGGCCTCAAACTTCTGGGCTCAAGCGGCCCTCCTGCCTTGGCTTCCGGAGTGGCTGGGCTGCAGGTGTGAGCCACTGCACTAGGCTCCTGAGTTACTTTAATTTAATGCGTGTGTTGAACTTCATGCTTTGCCTTTGGAATTTTCCTTCTCTCCTCCTTTCCTGTGACATGGAGGGGTTCTTGTTAATGGATGTATTTTTTAAACTGTCCCGAATCCCAGAAGGATTTAGTTAGCAAATGACATTGTTGGTTTCTTTGATACATTGCAAATTAATGTTTTTCTTTATCTTGCAGAAAATGATGTTCGTTATTATTTGTGTAATTATTTTGCTTGTGATCCTTGGAATTATCCTAGCAACAACATTGTCATAGCAACTACATCCCAAGAGCCATTTCTCCTTGGAGACTCGGAGCACATCTGCAACCAGATCAGCACCCTGTCATTTCGTGAATGAATCTCAGACACTGTAACCCGGCATCGGTGCTGACCTTTAAATGTATGAATTCACAGAAGAAGCACAACCGAACGTCTTGTTGAGTGAAAGCGCCGTAAGCTCCGTGGGTGTGATACATGACCCTGAATGACACACTACAGAACGTGGGCAGTGTGAGACTTCTCTCAGTGGCCTCGAAATAAGGAAATACCGAAAATGTCAATATTAAAAATATTTCAGTGTTACAAATGTGCATGAAGTTTAATTAGGGATCCTTTATGTTATGAAGCTTTTTTTTTTTTTTTTTTTTTTTTGAGACAGAGTTTCACTCTTTTGCCCAGGCCAGAGTGGAGTGCAGTAGTGCAGTCTTGGCTCACTGCAACCTGCCTCCCGGGTTCAAGCGATTCTTCTGGCTCAGCCTCCCGAGTAGCTGGGATTATAGGTGCATGCCACTACACCCAGCTAATCTTTTGTACTTTTGTTTTTAGTAGAGATGGGGTTTCACTATGCTGGCCAGGCTGGTCTTGAACTCCTGATCTCTTGATCCACCTGCCTTGGCTTCCCAAAGTGCTGGGATTACAGATGTGAGCCACCGCGCCCAGCCGTTATGAAGCTTTTAGATCTCAGGTCTAAGGCTCCTTTTAACCCCTTCTTCCAGCTAATATGTGCTAATTAAGAAACCTTTTGTACTATGCTGTGTTTATTGTCTGTTTGAAGAAATAATTTTTATCATGTTTTTGTAAGATATCTATAATTTTATGTGTTTATAGATTAATTGTTTAATATATTAGCATCTTAATTTATCCCATTTTTATATCCTGAATGTGGCCTTTTGAGTGAAATAGGAAGCTTCATGGTGTTTGAGCCACCTTTGGCAGTTGTTTACAAAGTGTCCCATTGTCAGAAAACGTTGGTTGCAAAGCCCCTCCAAGCCCCCACAAGTGCCTTCTGTGGATGCTGGTTTATAACGAGTTTAAATGTGCTGGTGGCTCCAGACGAGCCTCAGCCTCAGCTCCACTTCTGAGATAACGACTGTCTCTTTTTCACTACGTGTGAGGTTCGTGTTTCCCAGTTTACACGAGCAAAGTCTGAGTTCAGGGTGGTGATGAGACTGAGGTTCATACTCTCGTGACTCAAGGAAATTATTCCGAGGACATTGAGTAATTCTTAGAAATTTAAACTATTGTACAGATCACATAAATGTTAGTAAGTACCTAATGTTTTGCTGAACTTTAAAAGTTCATTTCCAAAATGTATAGGAATTCACAATTAAACCCTTTCATTGCTTATTCTTTTTTAGAATAATGACTTATTTGTAGACTTGTAAAATGTGTGAACTAGTGAACGAACATCTGTTAAGACAGCAGTCAAAATTTTAAACGACTATGTGAAGGATGCCCCAAATATCGTTAACTCTTGTTACTGCTGTGTGTGATGGTGTAAGCATGTGACTTTTAACACGTTTGGTTTGAAACTAGTGTAGATATGCCTGACTCCAAACAGTAAGTGTGGAGAATATGGAACAGCTTCTCAGCCAGGTCCGGACTTAACACACTTCCTGATCTCCCTTGTCCTGACATGTCCATTGGATCACCCGCTGATGGTGACAGTGCGCCAGAGTTACAGGGGAAGTCTGCCTCGGACTGTGTCTTTCGTTTGGTCTTGAAGTATCCGGTTGTGCGGTGTGCTCACTGATTTGTGGTTACGTTGAAGGTGTGACTCGTCTGGAAGGGTTGTAAGCATTTCAGGATCACGCTGGTGTCCAGAGGACTTCACGCCTCAGTCTAATCACATGCATGTCGGGGGACCTGTCTCTGTTCATGTCCCACTTTTTCTTCAAGTTCTGTCATCTGAGTCCTCTCCTTTTACGACACTGTTTGGTATTTTTCAAGTTAATCTTCTTAGATTTGCAGTATATATATACTGAATTTGTGTTTTTATAGGTGAAGTTATAAACATGCTGTTTGATTTATATTTAGATACTTAAGTCATTTGTCCAACGACATGTGTATATCTAAGCCTCATGCACTGATTTGAAGTCAGTCTTACAAATATATTTACAAATTCACTTGTGACTTTTTAATCAGTTCTTCAAATATTTCGTGTTTACATTAAGTATTTCCAGAGAAGCAAAAAAGTAGTATTCACTTCCTGCCTTGTCATTTCTGGATTTTGGGGAGATATTTTTTTGCATATTCATTAATAAATTGTTCTAAGAAAATTACTCTTATGATGTGTGATGATGTCAGTAATTTGGAAACATTTGGTAATTATTTTTATTTGTATTTTTGAGACACAGTTTTGCTCTTGTCCCCTCGCTGGAGTGCAGTGGCACAATGTCTGCTCACTGCAACCTCTGCTTCCTAGGTTCAAGCCAGTCGCCTGCCTCAGCCTACTGAGGAGCTGGGATTACAGGCGCCTGCCACCATGCCCAGCTAATTTTTGCATTTTTAGTAGAGACGGGGTTTCACCATGTTGACCAGGCTGGTCTCGAACTCCTGACCTCAGGTGCTCTGCCCGCCTCGGCTTCCCAAAGTGCTGGGATGACAGGCGTGAGCCACCGCGTCCTGTGCATTTGTTAGTATTTTATCAGTGTTATATTACAAGCTTCTGTTGTTCGTGGCTCACATGTCAGCATCATGTATTAAGGGACCTACCAGAATTCTTGCTGTTTGTAACAGATACCAGTTCAATGAATTGGGGCTCTGTCTCAGAGTCACTGCGTTTGAATTCTTTTGTCAATTTGACACATTCGCATTAACATTTGTGAATGGGGGGCCCTCCCCCCACCCCCAGGTTCTGAGTTATGTATCCTCTATACTTAATCCTCGTTTAGAGCTTTTCTTATTAAGTAGAATGTATTTACTTCCTCAGCCCTTACTGAATTCTGATCATACTGGAAAGTGACATTCAAAAACCACAATTTTAAAAAGAGAAGATAGAACTGGAGAAAACGAATTCATGCAGCTAGAGCCCTAGATGTTCATTTTAATATCCCATTTCTATATTCCTCCCATAATGAATTTCCTTTCAAATTAGTCTTGACGTGCACATTCAATAATTTATTTTATTTATACTTTTTATTGCCTAAATGACTTTTTTCTGAATTTCTTCAATCTACACTCACATCCTTTCATGAGTTTAAAAAGTGGATTGATCCGAGGTGGAATTGTAACTGGAAAGGTTGCATATCCATCAGAGAGTAGCAGAAAAACCTGGAAAAGCTGCTGGGTTCCCACTCAGCCCCGGGATGGGTAAGGCTGGGTGCCCTACACCGTGGCCAATGCGCAGGCGCCTCCTCCCGCCTCCTGCCCACGCTCCCTGACTCCTGTGCTCTGCTAAACATCAAGGCCAGTGCCCCAGGCGTGGGTCCGTGGCCGCCGGCACCTGCGGAGTTGCCGAGGTTGGCTCCTTATTTTAGCTGCTGTTGTAATTGACACACCACCCCTCACTGTTAACAAAGGCGAGCCCTAAATTTAGGAAAGAACAGACCATACAGGGGCGCACACATCTCTTCAAATGAATAGAAAAAGCAGCCCCTCGCCGCCAGAGCTGAGGAGAAGCCTAATGTGGATTTTTTCCAGTCGGTTTCACATGTAATCGAATGGACCTGGTACCACGCAGCCTTTCGTTAAGTTCTGGTTTTAAGACTCTTAAAATTCGTTTCAGTGTGTGCGGCGTGGGAGGGCGGAGCGTCACACCGGGTCTAAAGGCAAGAACATGTAGGCAAGCAGAGGCAGCAGCCCTCTGGAGCCGGGTCTGCTGTTCCTGGAGTCAGAGGAGCTGTGGAAATGCACGTCTAGCTGTGAATGACTGGCAGGAAGCCGGCGGCCGGATAAGATGCGCACAGCCCGGTTCTGTTTTCCGTTCGAGCAATCGATACATTGGAGGCAGCACGTGGCCCTCTTCTGACTCGCTTTCTTTGAACAAGAGAGTGCGGATTCCTCAGCCCGAGAAAACTAGGCCTTTGGCTTCTTGGCAGGGGGACGTTCCAGAGAGCACAGGGGAGGTCCTGCCTCCCGGGGAGGGGTGACCTGGGCGTCCTGGGGTCTCAGTTCCCTGCCTGTGAAAAAGAGGGATGGAGTTGGAGAATCGCTGGGTGCCTGTCCAGGACGCCAGACTCTGCCTTTTATATGTAAATTCCATCCTTCTCAGGTTCTCTTTGGAGCGCTCTCCCGGGCCGCCTTCTGCCCGCACAGAGCACCCAGCAAGGTGATAGCCCTCCTTTGCATTTCTTTGCAAATTGTACTTTTTAATGCGTCGTTGAGTCGCTGAAGCAGGTGGCCCTTGGAGTAGACTACAAGACTGGTCCTCAGGCGGGGAGCATGACAGAGTTCTGAAATTGTTGAATTTCCTGAGTACGCCCCAGGCTCGGTGTCACGCAGCAAGGCGGGAAGGCTGGGGTTGGTAGCCGGGACAAGCTCAGCTGCAGAGAGTAAGGCAGGCCGGGTTGCCGAAGCCCCGGCGTGGCTCAGACTGAGGGGGGGCCAGGGCAGGTCGGGCCCAGGAATGGGAGCCAGGCTCTGCTGGAGGGCAAGGTAAGGGCCTAAGCGGCACGTCCGGGGAGTGGGCGGGCAGCAAGGATTGCGCGGCAGTGATGGGCGTGCGTGGGTGGCGGGAGAGTGGGGCTCTGTGAAGGCCTGGGAGTGAGGCCGTGGAGCACGGGGTGGTGTGGGCAGCGGGCTCTCCAGCTGCTTTCCTCTGTGTCGCCTGGGGAGCTGGGTCTCTTAGGACTCAAAGCCCCCCCTCCCGCAAAGTTCATGTCTACAAGCTGGTGTGGCCATGGGGCCGAGACATGGTTCATGCAGCTCCCAGCGTCCCCTGTATCCTGTGCTCCCACTAGGAATTAGGACCCAGACGCTGAAACACCTAAGTGTAGAGCACCGCCCGGGCGCGTGGGGGCGTGGGGGGCGTGGCGGGGGCGTGGGGGGCGTGGCGGGGGCGTGGCGGGCGTGGAGGGGGCGTGGCGGGGGCGTAGGGGCGTGGCGGGCGGTGTGGGGGGCGTGGCGGGCGCGGGGGCGTAGGGGCGTGGTGGGCGGTGTGGGGGGCGTGGCGGGCGCGGGGGCGTAGGGGCGTGGCGGGCGGTGTGGGGGGCGTGGCGGGCGCGGGGGCGGGGAGGCGCTGCGGGCGTGGGGGACGTGGGGGCCGTGGCGTGCGCGGGGGACGTGGGGGTGGGAGCGCGGGGGTCGGGGGCGCGGGTGCGTGCCCAGTGCGGGGAGGGGGCTTTTTCGCTGGCAGGACAGCAGCAGGCCTGGAGGGAAGTGCTGTCTGCCATCCCGTCGTCGTGTTTGAAAAAGTGCTTTACTGCGGTGTGATCCACGGTACATTCATCCGTCATAACTGTGTCTGATATGATTTTAGTAATATAGAGTTGTGTAACCATCACAACCCTCTTTTTTGAGAACATTGGGCCATCACCCCAAAACTACCGTGACGTCCATTTGCTGTTAATCCCAGCTCCCATCCTGGCGCTCGGCCGCCTTCCCCGCGATGCTTCCTCTCCATCGGTTTGTCTGGACGTTTCCTGAAAGTAGAGTCAGGTGTGACAGTGTTCCGCATCCCGCCTCTTTCACTCAGCAGTGTCACCGAGGCTGTCCCTTTGAGGCATGTGTGGGTACTCGGTCCCCTGGTGCTGCTGAGCGTCCTTCATTGCAGGGGGACGTTTTGTCCCTTCCCCGGCTCACAGACAAGGATCTGTTGCCAGTTTTACTGTGAAGAATAATACTACCGTGAACATCTGTGTACATATGTTTACATGGACCTGTTTTCATTTTCCTTAGTAGTTTTCTGGGAATAGGAATTCTGGGTCATATGTAAATTTATATAATATTTTAAGGAATAACTGCGCTTTCCAAGTGCTATATCATTTTATTTCAAGTAAAGGGGAATGTATAAGGATTCTGGTTTCTCCACATCCTCACCGACTCTTGGTATTGTCTTATGTTTTTAAACCTATCTATGCTAGTGGGTGTGGAGTGGTGTCTCATTTTCCTACCGATGAACAATGTAGACATCTTTTCATGTGTTTATTAGCCATTCATAGATCTTTTAAAGTAAGATATTAACTCACATCTTTTGCACATTTTAAATTTGGCTCTTTTTTGAATTTAATTTTAATTTTAATTTTTTTTTTTTTTTTTTAGAGAGGATGCTCTGTCTCCCAGGCTGGAGTGTAGTGGCACAATCATGGCTCACTGCAGCCTCGACCTTCTGGGCTGAAGTAATCCTCCCATCTCAGCCTCCTGAGTAACTGGGACTACAGGTGTGTGTGTGTGTCACTCTGCCTGGCTGTTTTTAAAATTTTTGTAGAGGTAGGGTCTCACCATGTTGCCCTGGCTGGTCTTGAACTCCTGGGCTCAAGTGATCCTCCTACCCCAGCCTCCTAAAGTGTTGGGATTATAGGCATGAGCCACTGTACCTGGCTTATTTTTGAATTCTTGAAAAACAAAAAGAAACTTAATTTTAAAAAGAACTATTAACCCTTAATAGTTTAAGGTAGAAGGTAAATAAAAAGAACTAAAGAAAACTATATTTAAATAATTAAAATTATAATAAATCAACAGATTCTCAACTATGCAGAAATTACTTTGTGAAAAAAGCCAAACTAAAATTCTAGAGTTGAAAAGTAGTCACCAAAATAAAAACATTCATGTTGAGAAGAGCTCAACATGATAATAGATATCCTGTCCTCCTGCTACTCCCATGGTGTGTATTTTGAGTCCTTTATCTATTCTGGATAAAGTTATTGTCTTATGCAATCTTAAATCTTTTAAAGAAGTTAAGAAAACAAAGGAGAAGGCATCTTTGCAGAGTGTTTTGTGTTAACATGCATGGTTACGATTTCTGGTGCTCTTCATTTCTATCTGCAGTCTCCAATCACTCTCTAAGTAGTTTTCTTTCAGCTGAAGGACTTCCTTTGGTGTCTCTTGCAAGGCGAGTTTGTTAGCAATGCATTCTCTCAGTCTTTCTTAAATCTGGGTATTTCTCAATTTCACCTTCAGTTTGGAAGGATAGTTTTGCTGGATATTGAATTCTGGGTTTGCAGTTTTTTTTTTTTCTTTTCTTTTGGCCCTTGAGGATCTTATACGACCACTCTCCAGCCTCCTCTGTTTCATGCATGAATCTGGCTGGTAATCGTATTGATGCTCCCTTCTATGTCACGAGTCATTTTTCTCTTGCTGCTTTCAAGGTTCTGTCTTGTCATCTAGAAGTTTAGGTGTGGAT